GCAGGTCTAAATCTACTTCATCCTTCTCATGCAGTAAGAGTTTTGAAAAACTTTAGGTCACCTTTTTCACTTTTTTAACAGATTTTGGATCATGTCATTTTTATCCAAAAATTTTAAAAAAAATTAAAGAATTTACAATTCTTACCCTGGGAAATCAAAGGGTTGCTGTTGATTAATCATTATAATAATGTATTAATTGTGATCACAATCAATCATAATTAATTAAGATACATCAATATTCAATATTGCAAATATCAAATCATCATTCATATATGCTATATAATTTCCAAACATTTATTTTACACTACATACACTATACACACACAGGTACAGTATGTAGCTAACTGATTCGTTAGCTTACTTATATTGATCTCAGTGATATTCTTTCTGCAGCACAAAGTCATTATCAGAGTTGAGTCTTTGTGTGACTTGCACCTAAAGGGGTCTCTCCATCCCCGGGTCCCAGTCTGAGTTACTGTTCTAGAATATTCCCAGTGGAGGTGATAGGAGGAAATTGCCTCTGCTGATGTATGCCTCCGTGTTGTCTCCGTGTGCACCCTGAACATGTGTCTGTGCTACGTGATAAACTGTTTGGTTGCTGCTTTCTCACCTCACTTTACTAATGAACTGTTGCCACGGCAATGGCAGGAGTGTGAAGGGTGGCGTCATGGCAACAGATTACTCACTGCCAACTTAGGGCCAACACCTAGGCAAGTTGTTGAGGTTGAGCCTGAGATAAATCTACAGTCAGTTTTAAGTAAAAACCAGCACTGTGTCCCCCCGCCCCCCACCACCCCACCCTCACCCCCATATCTGGCTCACTCGCTCGCTCTCTCTTTCTCCCCCTCTGCAGTGGTGAAGAGTTACAGAGCAGCGATATCCGAGTCTCCCGGGGGACTCTCTTATTCTCCACCCCTCTTGCCTGCATTTGTCTTCACTGTGGCACCGCTGAAGTAAATTACGGTGATACGCATCGACATTAATTTAGTTTGGTTTGGTGTGTACAAGTAAAAGGAGCTTAGTCATTACACTGAACTTTTCTCCAAGACTCTTCTGCCTGGGCCTCATCATCATCATCACCTGCTCATCTGTGCAGTTTTGTGATAATTTCTGACTTCAGCTCTGCATTTGTGCCTGCTCAACACGTTCCACATGTTCAAAACAAAATAACAACAACTGGAGATTCTCCAATGTTACCGGCCCAACTTCAGCATAATTATGGAATAACTGTAAGAACCGTCATCGGTTTTTCCTAAAAATTAAAACACAATAACGCAAGGCCTGGGTTTGGCCAAATGATGTGTGCCCTAAAAATAGTTTTGGGGATAAACGGCTGTATATTAAAGTGAAAGTCACTAGATGGCAGCATTGCAGCTCATTTCATTAATTTATTTTAATAATCAGGGGATTGTATGCAGAATGCTGGTGCCAGATACAGATTAATAAAAACACGGACGTGATGGTAAACTGTCCGTTGTGTCAATAGATGGTATTGTCATAAGGTCTATCTGGCATCATCAGTAGTGTACCTTTGAATCACTGGGTGTTACAGCCTTTCAACACTAGTCACCTTCATCAAAGATGTAGTAAAAATAAACAAATAAATATTACCAGGCTTATATCGGTATGGGATGATATTGGAATCGGAAATGAAGTGTTGGAAAATATCGGCAAAAAGTTCATATCGGACATCCCTAGTAAAAACGTTCTTCCTTGTTCCTATTTTCAGATTGGTCAATGAAGAATCAAAGTTTTAACCATTATTTTATCCACTAGAAATCTCATCAACAGACCACTTCCTGGAAGCCGAGGGTTGAGACATTTACGCAGAAGAAAGGGTTACATTCTGAGCATTTTCCAAGTCTAGTTGGTGTCAGGGTTGGATATTTAGAAGAAAATTCTAAAATGTGAAATCACCATTGATGTGGAGGCTTAAAATAGAAGAAAAATGTTCCTGTCAAGAGTTCTATAGATTTTTCTTATCAGGCCTCACACTGCAGTGTTTTCAACAGTGTGCTACTAATAAATTGCCTGCTTCTATATATAGTACAATCCATGAGTACCATGCAGTAGTCTGTATACTGCACCGGATCTACTGCACTATCCAGTGCGTTACGGAGACGGTGATGCTCTGATTGACATGACCTTTGATTGGCTGATTCATACAATGTGTTAGTGGTTACAGTTTCACTCTTTTCCTCAGTTACTCACATGTTTGCTCTTTCCTCCCACAAATTGACGTTCACAGAAAAAATCCTCCAAAGACGCCGTTCTCAGACTGTGTTATTCCTTCTGTCTCCATCGTCAGCCCACACACGGTGCCAGGAGATGAGAAGCGGTCTCATTCGTTTACATGAGGGCCTGATGGGTATAGGAATCAGAATGACTTATTTAAACTATTTATTTGAGCAATATTAAATCTAACCAATAGTCAACAAGGAGGATGAATGTAGATGATGCTGACAGCTAATAATCATGTATTTAAATGTATTTAAATTAAACAGTGCTGACATTGATAATGTTATGAATCAGTGTATGAGGCGACAGCAGCACAGAGACGTTCCTCAAGGATCACTGTATGTTCTATAGGAACACAGCAGCAGGTGAACTGGGAAAACCTGTTTTAAAAAAGTGTATGTGTGTGTAAGAGAGGTGTAATGGTGATATTTTTCAGTGCTTTCATACACTGGCACTCTCCCTCCACACCTACACTTACTCATGGCACATACACACACTCACTCACACACACACACACACATTGCTTTTTCTTCCTTTAATCCTGGACTGCTTAAGAAAGCTGAGGGGAGAAATCCCTTTACAAAGTCTGGGTTCAGTGATGTTTGGTAACAACTTGTTATCTCACATTTGGGCTGGAGACAGAAGAGTATTTTTTTGGGGTGGGGGGTTCTACAGGGGCTTTAAAATCTCCTCTTTATATATATTTTTTTCTTGACAGATGTAGAGGTTGTGTTACTACAGTACAGTGTATGTATTTCCCTCAGCTCCATTGTACGGCTGTAGTACGTACAGTATTACCCCGGAGTACTGCATTTCCCTAGAGTTGAAGTTGAAGATGGAAAAAGCTCCAACCCTAGCAGCACTGACAAAACTTTTGTTTGATGAATCTCTCATCAATGACTACTGGAAATGAGTGAATTGGTCACAAGATGATTTATGAATCTTTTATAGTTTGTTTTTTTTTTTTGGATGGTTTGATTTTCAATTATAACCCAGAGACAAATAAAAGAGATTAGAAATGTTTGGTAAAAAAGTAAATAAGTCAAGTCAATAAGGGTTGAAATTAAATATCCTCCTAAAAACACATTTAACGTGGGAAAAATTAGGTTTATGACAAACTCAACATTAATTCCAATTTCAAAATCACTAATAAAGTCATCTTTTTTATGTTTTTTTTTAATGTAATTGTTGCTGGAATCACCACAAAACGGAAGTTGTCTCCTGACCATTGCCTTGCACTGACACACAGGCAGCTGTTATTATGACATCTATATGTGGACCTCTGCTGTTTACTTTACACACACACACACACCTTTAACTGCCATGATTTTAGAAGGTGAGGAGCCATCTAGGTTTATACGGCGTAAAAAGCAAACACGCAGCAGAATGGCGCTGCAGCTCCATCACACCGTCCTCCAAACTATTAAAGTTAATGGAGCCTTCCCTTTACAGCCCCTAAAGAACATAAAACACCCATCAAATCTGTAATATGTGGCTGTTTGTGGAGGAATGGGGAGTAAAACTACATGAATCAATCTACTGCACACACAGACGTACTGAACGGGAGAACTACAGCTCTACACTGACCAAGTCATTTTTCACTCTCTGATAATAATAATAATATTGATAATCATTAATGAGAAAATTGTGACAGACAAGCCAGAGCTAGTGAATATACACATTAGATCACTACTATAGCGCTCAGCACCTGCTGATTAGTGGTGCCGTACATGCCAGCATTTTTAATATGACACATTTTTATAGGAAGAAAAAAATCACTTTGAAATTTTTTTAAAAACTACACAAGCTAAAAATTAATAATTATAAATATACATATAAACATATATACATATATACACAGATAAACATATGTATATATATATATATATACACACACATATATATATACTTATATTTACACATATATATATTGTATATATATGATTGTCTGGCAAAATAAAGTCAGACTGTATAATCATCTATGACCAACAAACAACCTGTCTAGTCTGTTCCATCTTTCAGATTAAAATCAATTCTACTATTCGTTCAATTGCAGAAGATCAACTTTTTGAAGTTGTTGCCAACGTGCACATCCCTATTGACACCAGCGAGGCAGCACACAGGCCTTGAAGTATCACCACATCCATCACTTTTCATTTTCTAGGTCATCAGCCACCATCAGCAGTGTCTGGACTCCTGGGGGGAGCAGTGTGGGGGGGGGGTTCACCTCCTGGCCAGTTGCACCGGCCAGTTGCCTGCCATCTCATTACATCCCTGCCAAGTCTCAGCCTCCAAAGAGATTACGAAGGCCGTATTATCATCACATTTGATTTGTACAGTCTGAGACAAATTATTTTTTATTAGATTATTTTCCTGATTGGACCGTACATCATGGCGTAACACCAGGACAGTGCAGTGGCTGCAGATACAGAGCAAAAACCTGTGTTTGTGCAGATCAGATGACATCAGTCTGCCACCTGCCTGGACCTCCTCTAACTGCAGATGCTCAGCAAACATTTTTCATTTCAGCGTTTCTTGCTCCAGAACAGACTTCCAGACACTAGTATTACAGTGTTGTTAGCAATATTTAAGTTTGGCCCATAATTCTGCTAATTTATCTGCTGATGTTACACTGTTTTCTACATGTGCTTGTTTCCGGCCACCAAATGCTGTAAAACCTGGCAACCTCACATTTTAAGCAGAATGGTTAGTTTGCATGTAAATTCACTGCACTGATTTACTGTGTGTGTTCTGGTTTGTAGGAGTTTGCTACTCTGACAAAGGAGCTGAACATATGCAGGGAGCAGCTGCTGGAGAAAGAGGAGGAAATCTCTGAACTGAAGGCTGAGAGGAACAACACCAGGGTACGCATGAGTGTGTGTGTGTGTGTGTGATTCAGCATATGTCTAAACCAGTGTGTGAGACCTATGACGACATCATTTCTGAGTGTTTTCTTGTGATTTTGGCTTCGTGTATGTGTGTGTGTGTGCTGTAGCTGCTGTTGGAGCACCTGGAGTGTCTGGTGTCTCGTCACGAGCGAAGTCTGAGGATGACAGTGGTGAAAAGACAGGCGCCCCCACCCTCAGGGGTTTCCAGTGAGGTGGAGGTCCTGAAAGCCCTGAAGTCTCTTTTTGAACACCACAAGGCCCTGGACGAAAAGGTAAAAGTGCACACACACACACACACAGGTTTATGTGTTTTATGAGGACTTTCCATGCACATACAGTAATGCACTCACTAACCCATTAATCATTATGCATAATCTCAATCCTAACTCTAGCCTAATTCCAACCCTAATTACAAATTTGACCTGCAAATGTATCATTTTTTTGGTAACTTCAACATATTATTTAGTTACTGTCCATCTTCACTAATTTAATCAATAACTATGGAATACGTATACAACATGACAGCAATAATTATTATTATTATACAATAGTAACCAAAAATGTTTAAATTTCACTTTAATTAATTTTTTTATCTTTGATTATCTTTTACAACAGTTGGACAAACAGTGTGTGTGTGTTTTGTTCAGGTGCGAGAGAGGCTGCGGGTGGCATGTGTGTGTGTGTTTTCTTCAGGTGCGAGAGAGGCTGCGGGTGGCGCTGGAGAGGGTGGCCACCTTGGAGGGACAACTAGCAACCACCACAGAAGAGGTCTTTTGAGCATGTTGCTATGCTAACATGTGCATATTAAGTGTGTATATGTGTGTGTGTGTGTGTGTGTGTGTGGCCTTAGAGATATATGAGCCGTCCCTGACAGACGTCCCTTCACGCTTTCTCTCCTATCCTTCCAGTTGTGTTGTTGAATGTATGAATACTGTGTGTGACTGAAGTGCTGACATCACCTGTAGCCACACTCCTATTGGACAGTCCACCTGTCAGTCACACAGTGTTCACTCAGTGCTGTATCTGTTTTAATTACTTCTCTAAATGGCTTCATAAATGCGAGAGCTGACGACGAAGTTGCATTTAAGAAAATCTGAAATTCAGTGTTTCGAACCGTTTGAAAAATATTTATTGATTATAAATGTGGTGATGATTTTTATTATTACGTTCATTTTTCTCATTTATGTGCCATTTAGTAGAGCCCTTTACAGCTACCTCTGCTACTTTACTTTGCAGCCATGTTTGCTAACACACAGCAATGTTCACTTGTTATACCTTTAATTGACACACGAATCCTTTTATTAGAGAAATGTCGCCACATTAGCAGTACGTTTCAATTATGGAAAAAGGGATTTACAGTTTTAGCAGGTCAACTTTAGTTAATTATACAGTTCCCCACTCTAACCACCCACTCTTTAATGAATGGTTTCAAGTGCTGTCCAGCAGAATTAATTAAAATGTTTTTTTTTCCAAAGCCGTTGACAGATTCTTCTGTGTTTGTGCTGCTTCTACGTGTCAAGAATTAAAAACTAATAAAAGTGTGACTTCTCTCACGATTTTCCTTTTACCCTCTTTTGTTCTGCATTGCAGTTAAACACAGTGAGACAGAGGAAGGACGGTGAATCAGCAGAGCGAGCAGATGGAGCTAAACCTACATGGAAGGTCTTCCTGGCTGTGTGATTGTTTTTCTGCTCTGTGCTATATTTTATGTAGTGGTCTGTAGTCTGACCGACCGACTCAGTCGATTTCTTCATATCCTTTCACATATATTGGAAAGACTACATGTCACAGTAGAGTAGAATATGTCATAGAAAGTGTAATGTACGGTAAAGTCTTTGAATATTTGTACCAACAGAAATGTATTTGTCACATATGGTTCTGTTGGTAGTTACTATAGAAACTAAAACATCCTTTAAGATTTATTTTGGTGGTTGGAAACCAGAACTCTAGTCATTCATTAAATCCATTGTATCTGTATGTGTGTACTTTATATGCCGGTCAGTAATATTGTCCTGTCTCTGTGGATGTTTATTCATCCGTTTATAAAAAGCAAAAAAAAAAACCCAAAAAAACCAACGACAGTACAGACGCCTCATATCACACACCGCGCCCTCACGCTGCATCAAAACCCACACTTCTGTCCTGGTGTGCTGCTCAGTGTTAGCGTGTCTACGTGACAGTGTATCTACAGCAGATATCTAATTTGTGTGTCCACCTTGTAGAGGCTTCCCAACGGCTCCATAGACGCTCACGATGACAGCAGCCGCCTGTCTGAACTCCAGGAGCTGCTGGATCGCACCAATAAGGAGCTGTCCCAGAGCCGCGAACACAGTGCTAATTTGAACGGCCGCATGGTCGAGCTGGAGGCAGAGCTGGCAAACGCCCGTCGAGAACTTAGCCGCAGCGAGGAGCTGTCAATCAAGCAGCAGAGGGAACAGAGGGAGGTGAGAGCACAGAGGCAGTAGGAGACTCTGACAAAGATTTTTTATTATTATTGGGACACCTATGTAGATCTTTACAATTATACATGTATATTAGTTAACAAACAGCATCGCTCCCCATCGAGTTCTAACACTGACCCGTAAACACAGAGTGAACTCTTTACCAGCACTCTCCAAAGGTCAATAAAGATAATGGAGCCTATAAAAATCTTAATGCAGGTGATTGGAACAATTGTGTAGAGATGAATAAACTGAACGAACCTCTCTGTATGTTCGTCCTGTTGTTGGGTCTCTGCGTCCACAGAGAGAGGACATGGAGGAAAGAATCACCACGTTAGAGAAACGCTACTTGGCCGCTCAGAGGGAAACCACGCATATCCACGATTTGAACGACAAACTGGAGAACGAACTGGCGACGAAGGACTCCCTGCACAGACAGGTGAAAGACACAAGTCCAGCAGTCTGCAGGCTCACAAAGGACAACTATAATATTATCAATGGATTTACTCAAAATATTATTACCTGTGTAATGCAACATGGAGCAGCTCCTAACAAGATACCTGGCTATTTTTCTAATGTGTCCTGTTGAGTCCATCATACTCCTCTTTCTGTTAAATATATAAATGCTGAGATGGATTCACAACCTCAAAAAATCATCTAAAAAAATTTGACTTTTTGTGTTCAAGGTTCTGGTCTTTTGTTTACAGAACAAATTCACAGCAAAATGAGTTTTCGTAGCTGCATCCACTTCAAAATGAGGGTACAATGGCAGCTGCCCTCACTAGCGCCATCTTGTTACATCTTCTCTGATTTACTCATAGTAAAAGTACTCGCAAATCATTAACAAATGAACTTTTCTATTGGGGTTTTCTTTTGCCACCTTTTACCAACTTTAGTCTTCAATTAATAATGTGTAATCAATGAGTAGACAGTGACTTCACATCCAGACTTGGTGTTAGTAAAAAAGAAAAAAGAAAAGAAAAAGTGTATTTTTCACCTGTCCAGAGCAAATACTGACTTTACTACAGTATATACAGTACACACTAAACCACCTTCCTGGCAGAGTGTAGTGACGTTACTCAAAATATTATATCACCAGTCAAATATGGCAGTTAACACATTTTATTTGAAAACAACAGGCACTTCCTTTGTTAATGTCATGTCCTGTTACAGCCAGGTTGGGTTTGAAAAGACAAAAATAAAATTGACTGGAGTGATGTGTCTGTCAGTTGTGATTATCTTACTTAGAACGGTGCACAAAAGTGGCCCAACAATCCTAATGCAAGGTGACATGACAGAGCTTTTACTGTTCACTACAGTATGAGCGTGAGTGAGCTGTAGAGAAGAAGAAAAAAAACACTCTGGGTTCAGGTATAGTTCAGGGTGAATGGGAGTTCAATGTCTCCAGGCCTACTCTGTCATGTCCTTGTTTAATACTGGCTGCAGTACACTGGTTACACCTCTTGTGGTTGCACTAATGTCACTTATGTGTGTGTGTGAAGAGTGAAGAGAAGGTGCGCCAGCTGCAGGAGATGCTGGAGATGGCAGAGCAGAGACTGGCTCAGACCATGAGGAAGGCAGAGTCTCTGCCAGAGGTAGAAGCTGAGCTGGCACAGAGGGTGGCAGCACTTTCCAAGGTACACACACACACACACTACAAAAACTGTAAACACTGATACGTGTGTTATAAATATAGAGGAGAAAAATACCTGTAGGCACATGAGCTATCGGAGGCAGAACTGATTTGTAACTGTCTCCCTCTGCAGGCAGAGGAGCGCCATGGCAATGTGGAGGAGCGTCTCAGACAGCTGGAATCTCAACTAGAAGAGAAGAACCAGGAGCTGGGACGGGTGCGTGTGTGTGTGTGTGTGTTTGGTCTCATTTTCGTTTTTATTTAGCACCATTCTTGGAATGGTTAGTTATTTCCAACCAGCATTAATCCACTGGGAATTGAAACCTAATTAGGCAGAACCTCATTTCATGGCTCTGGTTAAAAGTTAGGTGGAATTTGGGGGTTGAGATTAGTGGTAGGGGAGGGAGGATGTAAATGATGGTAAATTGACCTTTGGTATAGAGGTTCACCTACATCACAAATGTCAAACTCAGGCCCGGGGGCCAAATCTGGCCCGCAGTATAATTATATTTGGCCTGCAAGATCATCCGATTATATTAAATATCTGGTTGATAAAAAAAGGACTCTTTCTGTAGGACGTTTGCATGCTCGTCTTGTTTCTGTATAGGTTTTCTGGGTGCTCTCTTTTTCCCATGACTGTGGTGTTGGCTGCAGCGCCCTCTGAAGACCAACTATTGACTGACTCTGACGGAACATGTTAATCCTCCACCCTGCGATTATTCAAGCAAACCCAAAAGGCTGCTCTTACGACAAACACAGTCAGCAAATAATTGCCATTACAACTGTCATGGCTACACACTGCACCTGTGCAAGGACATAGTACCGATCCAAAAGCTGCTTTCAGGACAGATAAGGCACTTGGGGTTGGGTCGCATCTCTGAGCCTTACATTAAAACTTTCAATGCACTTTATCCACGATGAGTGGAGGCTTCGCTGTAAACGTCTGCAGGCGTTCTATTTCCCCCGGGGACCATAGGGATGAATTTAATAGCTTAGGGATTAGAGGGAGCACTGGTGTCAGGGGACTTAAGGAGAAGTTGCACATCCTGTGTGTATAACTACTGATAATAGTGCAAATGTTGAGAAAAGCAGCAGCAGAGAATGACTGGACGAGAATACGTTTCTGCAGCCAGGCGCTCCACCTCCACCACTACTATAAATACTATGTACTACATACCAGAGGTGCCTCAATAAGTAGATGACAATCCACCAGTAGATCACAATGGGAGTGCTGGTAGATGATGAGCGATTCAAATATAATTCTATACTGTGTAGAAGTGACCATATACTGTAAGAATCCAATGATGTTGGGCCACACAGCTACATGCAGTTAATCAGTACCACACAGAATGTATGTATTTAATATAGATTTAATGTTTTCAATGTTGGTACATCAGCTGTTCATTTGAATATATATATATACATATATATACATACTGTACATATATACGTATACACACATATATACAGTACATATACGCATATATACATATATGTAGATATGTAGTTGGGATTAGTATGAATATAATACAGTATCGTAGAGTTTCAGAGTTAAAGGAGTTAGTAGGCGACACTAGTGTTAGACATTGGTTCTGGTTTAGAGTCGAGTTATTTTCTAATTTAAGACTAAATGAAAGGAAGTTCAGACCAGAATAGAGCAGCATATTTGTATGCTTCTCATTGCCTATTGGACATGTGTTTTCCAGCACATACACTACACCACGTACACACACATATCCTTCACAGGATTAACAGGGTGCATCCTTGCATGAATTTGAACTAAATCCATATCTCGCTGCCCCCCTTGCCCCCACTCCCCCTCCAATCCATCTGATTGGCTGCTATCTTTGGACTTTGAATAATTTATGCATGGCAAATTTATTTTTCCCGCTGTGCTGTTATGGACTATATTTAGCAGGAAAAGCTCTGTGTGGATGGAGATGTGTGTTTTTACAATGTTATAAACTCCACGATTGTATCAGTGTCAGCGTTGCATCAAGACACGACCTTGTCGTCGGCTGTTGCTGATATAATCAGATGCTGTATACAATAATCTGGGCAGACTGCTTTGATTAGCTGCATCACTACATTTAATGGCGTCTGTGTCAAGGGGAAAATATGATGTCATTTCTCTGATGGTCAGGCTCGGCAGAGGGAGAAAATGAACGAGGAGCACAACAAGCGTTTGTCTGACACCGTGGATCGTCTCCTCACCGAGTCCAATGAAAGACTGCAGCTCCATTTGAAAGAGCGCATGGCCGCCCTGGAGGACAAGGCAAGGCCTGCTAACTCACCTACTGTACTGTAGAGACACAAACACACACACACACACACGACATGGGACAAAGGAAAATGTGATGTTTAACTTTTACGCTGACCTGACGTTGGTTCCGTTTGTCTTTGGTGCAGAACTCTCTGATTCAGGATCTTGAGAACTGCCAGAAACAACTGGAAGAATTCCACCACACCAGGGTTTGTGATTTTTTTTTTCACACTATGATTAGCAGGTGCTGTGTACCAGACTGTTTGTTTTTTAACAGAATTGCAAAAATGCAATTAACGCCATTTCCCACTGCCAGTAGTCGGTTTGCCCTTTAGTTTGTTTTCTGCTACTGAAAACACAAATTCAACCATGTGTGAATTCATCTTTTATGTGATGACGACAGCAAAGTACATTTTCTGTTTTTTTTTTTCTGGGGGTTTTTGCACAGATGAACCTGTGTCACACTCATTTCACTGCTGATTTACCTTTACAGCTGTACGTGACAAAACATAGTTTCCGATGTAGGGAGCGGGACCCCACAGGGGCTCTATGGAGTTATTGTAGAGGGGCAGTATCACATACACATACATATATACACATACATATATATATTGCAGTGCAAGTTACAAACCAGGCTTAAAAACAAACATTGCCTCACTGTCCGTTTCTGCTCAGTGTAAATACATTCCAGAGTCATTACTTAGATAATCACGCTGATCGGTGTTCTAAATTCAGCTCCGACTTTTACAGCCTCTGTCCAGAAGTTCTCAGCAAAGCAAACGTCTCCATTCACATCCTTTTTTTTTAACCATCCCCTAATTCAACAATCAGACATCACACAAAAGATGCAAGATCTTGGGTCAGTTACTGTTTTACGTGTTTTCCAATTCGAGTGCTAAAAGTTTTAATTACAAGAAAATCTACAGTAATCGTTAACAAGTCCAACGATACGACTCTTTTATCCTCCATTATTCCCTCAGGAGCGGCTAATTGGAGAGATCGAGAAGTTAAGAAACGAGATGGACCACATGAAGCGCCGTAGTGGGGTGTTTGGAGATGGAACACACCCTCGGTACAAACACATTTCCTCTGTCACCTTCTACAGACACGACTGCTTTACATTTTTTAAACCCAACGTGTTTCATGGATATTACCTCAGGTCTCATCTGGGAAGCTCCAGTGACCTTCGCTACTCTATGGTGGAGGGCCAGGACAGCCACTACAGCACGACTGTCATCAGACGTGCACAGAAGGGCAGACTGTCGGCGCTACGAGACGACCCCAACAAGGTTTCAGCCATGTCATACTGGGACTTAAACAACCACCATGTTATCATTAACTTGATGATCACATGACTTTAATGGCATTGTAGCAATTTATACAGCGTTGAACTGCAGTTCCAGAGAAGTGTGTACACTTTCTTAAAATGCAATAGAACCAGCAACTTACAGTAAAACTGTACACAGACAAAGGATTACTCTTTTACTGATGTGGGAACTAGAGATACTGAACTGAGACACTTACTTTGTAGTCATGGTCTAGTACTTTTCTACATGATGTGTGAGGTTTGTTAAGATGAAGACAGTTCTGGACTGCAGGACGGCCGGTCCACCACCCAAACTCCATGTCCATAAAACCATTTTTTATTGACTCCGGCATTTTTAATATTTGGAACATAACCACATAGAACCAATTAGCTGTTATAGCACCCCCTGTGTGTCGTTCTGTGAGTTGCAACCACATACAAAATGGTGCCTCCTGTGGCAGCCTGTGTGGATTACAAAGACACCCACTCACAAAGAGTTTTCCTCCTTGTGGGACAAATAAGGGACTTGTATTTCAGTACAATGATGAGTTAAAAAAAAAGGTTTTAATGAACTATCCCTAATTGAAGACTTGAAGTTCATGCAAATTAAGCAGCAGTTTCCTCCCATTGACATATGCATGAAGATTTCTGTCTTTATTTCTACTTAAAAAAAAAACATCTTTAATCATAGATGGTGTCAGGCTCTAAATTCTATCCCGAACTATTTTAAATTAACAGACAATTTCCAATTGGAGTTGAACACTAATTGGGGAGATGTGACATCTTTGGCTTCACAACTAACCCAACTCTAACACCACTTGTTCAGACAGTTAGAGGCGAAGACTCCACGTCTTTAATGATAAGGAATTGTTCCTGTAAAAAACTCCTGTCTTGTCCCCTTGTCTGTTAAGTTAAAGTTCAAATTAACCACCATAGTACAAGTCGTATTGCATTCTTGGCATGTGAACCCACTTCTCTGTAGATAAGGTTTGTACTAACAGTTCCCAATTTCACATGTGCTTCACTCAGTTCCAGGGCCCGATATATGGTCTCTGATGATATCCACGACTAACCTGTCATTCTTTACTAACCTCTCTGTCTTTCTCTCACCTGCTGCTGTGGACATGCTGTCTAATGTAAGTTTCTTCTCCATCCATTCCTTAACTAGCCACATACATCCCACACGGTCATATTTGCAGTTGTAGATCTTTATCTTTGCAGTATTCTAAGCTGTGTTAAAACTCACGTCTGTTGCTTCAGGTGTGCGCGGTGTTTGAGCAGGACTACTCCTCCCTGCGCGGCAGCGTCAGTCACCTCCTCGGCAGCGACATCGAGGCCGAGTCGGACCTGGATGATGATGTCAGCTCTGCCTTGCTTTCCCCCAGTGGCCAATCAGATGCTCAGACTCTGGCGCTCATGTTGCAGGAGCAGCTCGATGCCATCAATGAAGAGATAAGGTGACCAGATCCTGGGCAGATTACAGTTTCATGTGTATTTAAAATAAGCAAACAAAATAATAAAATAATACAGGAAGTAGCTGTGAACAATAGCTTTATAATTATCTGTAGTTAAAATATGTTGTTTAGAGCCATGTTTGGAGTCATGTGGCTGGACAGGAAGCACCAGAACAGACTTTGACATTTGACATAATGACATCCAGATTTTACCAGATTTTCGGTCGTTACGCGTGAAAATGAATTGCCAGAAAAACGTACTGGACTGAAACCATGGAGCACAGAAGTCCAACAGCAACACTGACAATGAGCTCCAGTCAGGGAGTGTATATATATACACCCAGGGCAGCAGGTGAAATGAATGACTAATTAGACAGGACACAGGTGTGTGTGATTAACTAAATACCAGGAAGAGAAACAGAATCACAGATATGACCTAAAATACTATACAAATAATAAAAACCGAAATAAAAGCTGGTATCACTATCTACATATGATAATAATGTGGAATCATCTACTGCAGGCGTGGGCAACTTTTTTTTAGGACCACAATTGTCAATGTTCATGACACCAAACGTCTCAAAGGCTTGGAACTATTTTAGAAAATAATTCTAAAATGAGTTTTTTGTTTTTACTATAACAGTTGTCATAGACCAGTGTAATGTGATCGTTCTTTGTTGTAGGATGATCCAGGTGGAGAGAGAGTCAGCAGAGCTGCGCTCCGATGAGATTGAATCCCGCGTGAACAGCGGCAGCATGGATGGACTCAACGTGACGTTACGCCCCCGAGCCCTGCCTACCTCTGCTACTGCCCAGTCCCTGGCGTCGTCCACCTCCCCACCCACCAGTGGCCACACCACACCTAAACATCACACGCGCAGCACCAGCCACCATCTAGGCATCATGACTCTGGTCAGACTGCACCACCGATACTTACAGACACACTAACAAACAAAGAGCAATAACAGTAACAGCTTTGTTGACACGCCTTGTTTTTTTTCTCGATAGCCAAGTGACTTAAGGAAACACCGCAGAAAAGTAGCAGTAAGTTCAATAATATACGATTCTCCCTGGTCCCTGTTATCGACTTGTTCATTTTGACCCTGACATGCGTTTGTGACCTTTCCAGTCTCCAGTGGAAGTGGACAAAGCTACTATCAAGTGCGAGACCTCGCCTCCATCTTCACCACGTAGTCTACGCCTAGAAACAAATTTTGCTGCGTTCACAGGCAGTCTGGAGGACAGCCGAGGGTAAAAGAAAAAATACTTTTTTTTAAAATTGATTCATTTCTTATCACTTAAAGTTTCAAGGATTAAAGAACAACCACAGAGATTTTCACAACAAAAAATTATTGATCCTGACAGAAGCACAATGTAATGAGCAATAATTACATTCTGTGCCTTTAAATACGTCTATAGAATTCACTTTTTGACTCTACATTACAGTAAAGTTTTCTACACAGGGCTCAGAACACACAAAAATGAAACCACCCAGCCAAGTATAAAATGTGCTAAGATTGTCCAGGATTTATTTATAGATGTTTGAATCTATATAATAAAAATATTTTGAACTACAGTATGACTCACATGACTTGCATTGACTACAGTATGACTACAGTATGACTCACATTTCCATAAACTATTATTGGGATTTGTCAGATTTCTTCTTTCTATCAGTATGACATTGGGATTTGTCAGATTTCTTCTTTCTTCTTCTTTTTTTAATTTTGTTGTTTTTTTGTGACTTGAGGCAAAAAAAATATATATAAACACATGGAGCAGATTAAGAGCCAATTAGCTGATTATAATTAATTAATAACTAAACAATACTGTTTTTAAAGGATTTTCTAATTGTTGTTTTCATTGTAATGATTTTTCGACCTGTTCGCAGGAAGCAGAAAAAAGGCATCAAGTCGTCCATTGGCAGACTCTTTGGAAAGAAGGAGAAGATTCGTCTGGACCAGGCGGCGGGCAGGGACGGGCAGTCAATACCCACCCTGTCAGGTACATCGAGGCACAGCTAAGAGAAAAAACTTCACACGTGATACTGTGAGAGTTTTACATGAACCTTCCTGTGTTCTGTCTCAGACTTTGAGATGGGCATTGGTGACACAATGACTCTGGGAAAACTGGGCACTCAGGCCGAGAGGGACCGCAGGATGAAAAAAAAGTAAAGGACAAATTTCATTCTGCGTTTTTCTCAGAGAGCTGTAGTATTTTTTTTTGTCTCATCTTAACTTTTCTCTACTGTAGGCATGAACTTCTAGAAGATGCCAGGAAAAGAGGGCTGCCCTTCGCCCAGTGGGACGGCCCCACCGTGGTCTCCTGGTTAGAGGTATTTCACAGTCCTCCATTGTCTCACACCATGAAGAACACAGTGATGTCACACAGCAGCCTGTCCGTACGGACTTCATCCGCATCAGCCTGTCCTGCTAACTGACCTTTTATGGAAACAATGATGATGACACTGTTGCTCTGTTGATGACTCTCACCAGCTGTGGGTGGGTATGCCAGCCTGGTATGTGGCAGCCTGTCGTGCCAACGTGAAGAGCGGAGCCATCATGTCAGCTTTGTCGGACACAGAGATTCAGAGGGAGATTGGCATCAGCAACCCACTCCACCGACTCAAACTACGCCTGGCCATTCAGGAGATGGTCTCCCTCACCAGCCCCTCCGCACCGCTGACCTCAAGAACGGTAAAAAAAAAAACAAGAAAAAGAATGAATTCAAATACAAAACCCATATTTCTAGAAAGAGTCAAACTTACAAAGGAATTCAAATACAAAACCCATTTCTAGAAAGAGTCAAACTTACAAAGGTAGTTAAATTAATCTCTGTGTGGAAATGAAATGGAACAAAGAACATTTTAAATTTAAAGAAAAATATATTTTAAAGTTAGTTCAAATGTAGTTAGTTGAAGTCTCTGTTTAATTATTTTATTATTAATTACATTTTTTATTTGCTCTTTGTCCTTATAATAAATTAAAGTTAAAGGCAGTTTTTAAAATTTTTAGGCCTTTATTTTTACATTTATGGAAAGTGTCCTTCACCTTCGAAGTTTTTTTTTTTGTCACTCACATACATCACTAACAGTTATAAAATACCAAGCTCTAAACTGAGCACAGTTCACCAGGTTCATGGCTCAAACCTTGTCTTTGCCCCCTGATGTAACTTGTCTTAGAACAACTAGAGGTCGTTTTCCCGCTAATGTTTTATTCGCCCTTTGCTGTTTCCTGAAAGTTGCACGGAGAAATAGTCCACAAATCTGTGTCAGATGTAGGAACACGCTACCTGCCTGAAGAACACTCTCCCTCTCCATCACTCCACACTCTGTTTGTGTGTGCGCATGTGTGTCACTGCGTGTGCATGTGTGTGTTCTGACGTCTTTTTCGTCCTCTGAGCAGTCCTCCGGAAATGTGTGGGTGACTCATGAAGAGATGGAGAACCTGGCTTCCTCCACGAAAGCGGTCAGTACCATCTGGGTGCTCCCCTCCTGTTCCCATCACAACAACCGCCCGACACCTTCACACACTCCCTTCACAGTGACACACCCGTCCTCGTCCTGAAAAGACATCACTGCATTGCATTTTTTTTAATGCTACTATTTCAGGGGAAAAAGTTTTTGCACACTTTTGTGTAGGGTATCTTTTAGGTATGAGTTAATGTTTGGATTGGAATTTGGGTCAGATGTGATTTGGATTAAGGATTAATATCTCAGAAATGCATTATTTCTATGTAAGTGCCTCAAAAAACAAAACAAAAACAAAACATCAACACAAAACAATCATGTGTGTTTGTATGTGTCTGTGTATACTGATATTCATTTTGTTGTGAGGACAAAACAAACTCAGGTCCCCAGGAGTCATAAGTTACATCATGGGGAAAATTTGGTTCATTTACGGGAAAATGTTATTAAATATAAAACTACATTTTGGCTGGCAATAAGCAGCAAAAGATAAAATCACTTTTTGGAGCATACATGTGTACATGAAGTCAGCACACACTGACAGTAATAAATATGATTACTGTCAGATACCATGGAATGCCAGTTGGATTTTTTTCAAATTTTGCAATAAAATTCCAGCTTTCTTTACACAGTAAAACAACATAGTATCACTGTCCTCTTCAGCTGGACACCAGTGTGTTAGGTCAAACCAAAATTAATGGTCACCATCTTACTTTTGTACTTTTTTAGTATAACTGCAACTAGTTGTGAATTGTTTGTCAAACAACAAAGGGTTCGTTTGGTTTTGAAGATTGCAGACGTCTGGATGTGTATAACGTGTGTGTGTGTTTTTTATTTCCTGTGTCTCTAAACTTTTATCTTGTCTTGATCATGCTGCCACTCAGGAGAATGAGGAGGGCAGCTGGGCACAGGTGCGGTCACTGGTCTGACAGTATTTGACTGACTGATTGTATAGTGTATGTCTGGTTTTTCAGTGATAGTTTCAGATTTCCTATTAGACTTCCATGTACATTTTAATCCCCCTGGGATTAGGTGAGTGGGATTATACTGTTTTCAATGTAGCACCCATGCTCTGTGCTGCTGTGTTCTTTGTAGACTCTGGCATATGGAGACATGAACCATGAATGGATTGGGAACGAGTGGTTGCCCAGTCTTGGTCTGCCTCAGTACCGTTCCTACTTTATGGAGTGTCTGGTGGACGCCCGCATGTTGGACCACCTGACCAAAAAGGACCTGAGGAGCCACCTGAAGATGGTGGACAGTTTCCACAGGTCTGTGGTCAGAATTATGAGCTATAGTGTTGTCTGAGCTTCATCAGCTTTGTCTCTTTGAAAAATACATTTTTATAATAATTAATAATAATTAATTATAACTGTTGTAATAATAATAATAATAATCAATAATGATTATTATTATCTATATAATTATATATGTTGATTGATTAAATAATAATAATGTTTCTATGTGCTGACATGCAGGGCGAGTCTGCAGTACGGGATTATGTGTTTGAAAAGACTTAACTATGACAGAAAAGACCTGGAGCGCAGGAGAGAGGACAGTCAACATGACATGAAAGGTATAAACTTAATATTATAAACACACAGGCCAACATAAAAAATACGAAATGTATGTGTTATAACATAGCGGGCCAATTCTGGTACACATATGATATGATCTCACGGGCCAAATATAATTATGCTGCGGGCCAGATTAGGCCCCCTGGCCTGAGTTTGACTAATTTGCCATAGGGATTTAATAATGTTGAAAGAAAACACTTTAAATCTTCAACTTTGTGCCTGTTAAAGAGACAGAATCCTAAAAACATTTTTAGGATTTACAGTTATTTGTATTTCTGGGACTTTATGCAAACAAAACACACAGAGTGATTTATGAAGGTAAATATATAAATCTGCTGCTGAACATTCATTCAGACAAACTCCAGTTTCCACCATCCAAAGGTCACCGGGTCACAGAACCACAGAGTGGATTTGTCCTGAGAGTGTGGATTTGAAACAGCTGCACGTCAGACCATCAAAAAGTCATGGCGGCCAACAATCTTACGATTCAAAGTGGTGCATACCGGCTGACCAGCCTTCTCGCCCTCTTGACCTTGAATTCTGCACATGAACTTGACTCAGCTGTCACAGCCAATCAAAGTCCTGCTCTGTTTACACACACACACGCACACACACCGCCTGTTCCGACTTGGAAAGCTGGCTGACAGCTGTGCTTTTAACGAACAAAGGGAGTGTGCCACTGAGTTGACACTATGTGGACATGCACATTACCTCTTTATCTCTCTCTCTCTCGCTCTCTCTCTCTCTCTCTCTGCTTTATTCAGTGCCATAGTGAGTTTCAAACCACTCTCTTTCACTGCAGATATCTTGGTGTGGACCAATGAGCAGGTCATTCACTGGGTCCAGTCCATCGGTCTGAGGGAGTACAGCGGTAACCTGTTGGAGAGCGGAGTTCACGGGGCACTCGTCGCTCTGGATGAGACCTTTGACTACAGCAGCCTAGCGCTCATCCTGCAGATCCCTATGCAGAACACACAGGTGGTTAGAAAGAGAAGAAAGAACAAAGACAACTGTTCAAACCCTGCATGACTGATTGGTTTCAGTGGCAGAAAGACATCAAGGTTTACATAAAGCCACTTTTGAGCTACATGAGTCAAAGGCACTTTGGTCTTTGGTTTGTCAGTAATTTAGACGCATATTATTTCAAGTGAGGCCACGGTCTGTGAACTACGGAACTGGATTCTTATATCCAGTCTGCTAGCAGAACAGTAAGGTTGTTCGGTGACGGAGAGAAACAATGATCTTTTGGTTTAGAATGAACCTGTGGCACATTTCATATCAGGTACCAATATATGTTACAGTATCTAAATACTCAGAACCGTTTGGGCCACGTCATCCTATCCAAGCAAGAAGACAGTTTATATAACTAGAAGACATTTGTACATTTATCAGTACAAACCACTGTATGAGTATGAGATTAATTAAATGAGCTGCAATGCTGCCATCTACTGACTTTCACTTTAATATACAGCCGTTCATCCCCAAAACTAATTTTAGGGCACACATCATTTGACGAAACCCAGGCATTGCGTTATCAGGTTTTCATTATCGAAGGAAGATATTATTGTGGTTTTTACAGATATTACATAATATGTAATATATATCGGGCCGATAATATCGGTCGACTGATATTATTGGACATCCTTAGTTACAAGGCTTATGTTATAAGAGTAGACATTTTTTTGGGTTGTCAATTTTCTGGATATCTTGGATTAGTAAATTCACAAATGCTTTCTGCTTCTTCTTGCGCAGGCACGACAAGTTCTGGACAGGGAGTTCAACAACCTTTTAGCCTTAGGAACCGACCGTCGACTAGAGGAGGTGAGTGCTACTTTCATCAAATTCACCCCTTTTTGAAACAAAGTGTCTGACCCCACCTTTGACCTTTCTCCACAGAGCGGGGACGACAAGTCCTTTCGGCGTTCTCCATCATGGCGCAAAAGGTTTAGGGCACGTGAGGGAGGGGTTGGGCTGGGAATGATGGCAGGCTCCATGGAAACACTTCCTGCTGGCTTCCGTATGCCCTCCATGCCCCTGCCAACTTCTGTGAATATGGGGCCTAAGAAACATCTCCAGCCTGAAGGTGTGTACCAGTACTAACCTCAGGGTTCTACCTCAGCTGTTGGATTTCAGTGTGCACATGGATGCCGACCATTCTCTCAGCTTGACCCGGCCAACTTGACTAACTGCATGCTCTCTCTTCGTGCCAAACCCTTTCAAGCTCCTCCCCCAGCGCCTCCGAGAATTGACCCCTCGGCCGTGCGGACCTACTCATGCTAACTACTCTTCTGCTTACTAACAGGAGCACTAATGCTAACAGGTAAGCTAGCAGAACACTGGGAGGAAACCTTGAGTTTGGAGTGGTTTTTAAGCAGCATTGCCCAGTTGTTTGGCTTGAAGACGAGTCGCATTTTGACTAAACATTACCACGGCATGACTGATGCAGTTTAGAACAGTACGCCTGAGCTAAAGGTTTGCTTTTTGGAGATTAGTTTGGTTTTTAGCATTTAGCTCAACAACAGCAACAGATGAGCTAGAAGCATTCTGTTCTCAAGCTGAGGCCCACTGTACTGATAGGGTTACGCATTCGCGCAAACATTTTGTTAGATTTGTTAGACGTGAGTTTCGTTTGAGACTCTGTCCTCGTCTGATGAACAACTGAATATTCTTGTACATTTTTGTCTTTTTAGATTCATAGTAGTTTGACAGTCAGCTGTTCAGTCAGTCAACAAGTTCTGACTTGTTTTTCTCCGTTCCGTCTCCCAGTGCATTCTCATTACCTATATGGACACATGCTTGCGGCCTTTTGAGAGTGATATGCCAAATCTGGAGAGGCAAACCTGGGTGCCACTTGGGGGAGGGGGGCAGTCCACCCCTGCATTGCCCAGCCTTTCAACCATTCGTCTCTCAACTCACCTCCGGACACGTGCAATACAGAGGCCTCCTCTGAAACGTCGAACTTTTGAGAGTGCTCCTCGGCTGTGCTCGCTGCTGAATCGAGACTTATTCCCGTCTCCCCCCACAGTTTACCCCAGTGCTCCCAGTAGCCTTGCTGTTGTGGTGTTGTGATCCTTCTCCCCTAGTCTCAGCTGTGGTTCTTTGTGCTGGCTGTGTGTGTCCGGACATGGCCAAGTCCAAAGCAGTTTTTTGGGCTGTCACATTATTGAAAGCCTTGTAGATGATCGGATTTAAGGGAGTTGGAAGGCTTTAAAGAGCAGCTGTTGGTTTGGATGTGGGAGTGATGAATTCTTGTATAAATGGCAGATCCAAGTGCACATCGCCCCCTCTACCGGTTATGCAAGGTATTAGTCACTAATCATATTTGTACATAAAAAGGATCAATTATGTTTTTTATAGAAATATTATATAAAAATATATATTGGAAATATATATATGGAAAATGATATAATGTCATTGCTGTATGAAACCCAATGCCCTGTATTCAATAGTGACTGTTCTCTCTCTCCTTCTTTCTCTCTGTGTCAGACCTCTGTGTGTCTTTTGCTGTATGCTGTAAATGTGTGAATCGGTACTTGGACGGGGTGTGTTTCTACAAGGACTCCTTACAGGTTCATGGGTCCAATTTCAGACTTCTTTCTCTCTGCCTCTGCCCTCTCTTTTCAACCTCCTCTTCTTCTTCTTCTGTTGACACCATGTAGCCGTTAGCTCTCCGCCTCTCTCGCCTTCCGTACGACACTATGTAGCCTAGACTAAACAGAATCCTTTAAAATGAAGGGCGTGCACGTTTAACGTGCACAAGCAAGCCGCTCTGTACCCAGACCAATGGGGATGTTGTGTGTGAAGGGCCGACCCCAGCCATAAGACCATGACTCTATTCTGCGGATGGAGAGTGTGAACACTGTAGCTCCTCTCTGTTTGTCCCTTACTTCTTCTCTCAGATCAAACTGTTAACTGCTGCTCAACATCAGCCAATGAAATCCACACCAGACTGCTCATGACGATGGACTCGTCCAATCCTGTCCTGTCACTTCCCATTTAGTTGCCATAAAGACGTGATGCTGAGCAACGTTGGCTGAGCGACCCCTCCTCCGACGAGAACACAGCATATGAACCAGTGACGTGCTGGATGGGTGTACAATCTTTTTTTAAAGATTTTTTTCAAGGTGTTTAAAAGGTGTTATGTGCTATGTGGCAGCTATGAGTACTGTGTCTTTATTCCAGGTGTGAAACAATGCTGACAAATCAAGATTTTATTATTTGGCTATTTAAAAAAAAAGTGTACTGTATTTATGACATTATATAGACATAAGTAAAGCTGTTTTTTTTTTTTAATCTGGATTCTGTGGTTCTTTTGTCATCCTCACGTTTGGATGTAACAATAGTCGGTTTATTGAAAATGGTCTTTATTGCAAGAATTGGACAGAAAATATCACTTTTGGAACATCTACGAATACACAACAATCAAAGTTATAAAAGTCAAAAAATAAATTAACAAAATTAAAAAATAAAATTGCAAAACCACTCTGTAGAAAAAGGGAACGTATTTACATGACTAGCTATTGGAACTAGTTTATATTAAGCAGATCTTGGTCAAAACTGCTGTAGTACATATTGGCCCCAAATATTAACTTACGTTTGTTTAAGCATAAAAATAAAAAACACACACAAAAGAATGAAAAAGATCAGGGAAAGGTCTGGAAAAGAGGAAAACTTAACTTAAGTCTGGACCAGTTTTCTTATTGCTCTGTCGGTGGACCACAGGAGAAGGCAGAGAATAAAGGGAATAAGGCCTCGGTGTGAACATAGATCATAGATCTTTCCTTACGGTTGTAATAAATCTCAAATTTCATAATTTAGCATCAGGATAACATTCAATAAATCTTAAGAATAAATAAACTTGGTAGTTATAATTAGTTTGTTAGACTCTCGTGCCGAATGTGAATTTTATTTCTCGTGGTCTCTGGAGGTTTTATTTGGGAATGTCCACGGGAAAGGCCACGGCTCCATTCGCTGCGGAGATGCCATCCACGATGGAGGTCAGCACACGCATGTTGCCCTGATCTGGAGAATCGGCAGCGCTCAGCAGATCTGAACAGAGACCCAGGGCGAATGTTGAGGTTTAGGCTCGTCCGACTACAACATCTATCCTGAGACGTCCGAACGACGTGTACTCACCCTCGCTACTGTAGCTCTGGGAGCACTGCTCCGGAGTACTGCTCCACTCTGGGCTGCTGCAGCAGGTGCTGCCTGAACTGGGCTCACTGGACGAAGACACCTGTTACCATGGAAATGCAAGCAGAAGTGGCTGTCAGTCATTCCGTGTTATGACACGGCACACCCTGCCGTGTGGTACCACACACAAACACAGACGACACTTGCTGTAATGCATCGTGTAACCTCCTCACACTTAGGCTTACATCAAGAACACGATTAGTGAGACTTTCTCAACAGAAGCACACGCTACCATGTACATGACATGAGAAATAAAGATTGATTAGAAACTGGACCATCACATCTCTAATGATCCAGAATTTTTAGACTATTTTCTCCAATACTTGCTGTCATATTTTCTCCATCATTTCTGGTAACTATCCTTTCTTCCCCCTTTGTCTTTAGGCTCTGTACTCCTAGTTTTTCATGCGGTATGTGACCTTGACGTATTTCCTTATTCCTATAATTTCTCCCTTCTTGTGTCCAACTCACTCTGGGCTGCGTCGTACTGGCTCGGTAGTGAAGTCCCTGCTGTCCTGTCTCACTGTCCTGCTGGTTTAGGGAGGACACCAGGGCCTGGAGTCTTTCGATGTACTGGATGGCACTTCGCAGGATCTCCACCTTCGGCAGCCTCTGGTTGGGGTTCATCAGGGTGCTCCTCTTCAGAGCATCAAAGGCCTCGTTGACCTTCTTCAGACGCCTCTTCTCCCTCATCGTGGCCGCTCTTCGCCGATCCATCGTCACCGTCTTCCTTTTGCATAACTTACAGGCCCACGGCAAGCACTGGCCCGGACAGTGAGGCTCAGAGTGAGGTGACAGGCTGGATGGAGAAACTTTGTCCTCTGTTCCTGTGACCCCAACTCCAACTCCAACTCCAACTCCTCAAGGGAGATTCCCACACAAGCCCATCATGGAGTTCCTGTCCTGGTAGCCAGGTTGTTCAAACCCCCCAGGCAGGCGAGAAGGGAAATAGTTGTCCCCTCCCTCATAGAAGCGTTGGTCGGGGAAGAAGTAAGGGTTGGTCTCAAAAAGCTCCATGCTGCTCAATGCTGTGGTCTGGATAAGGGTCCCTGCTTCCTTCGGAAATGGTCTACCGTACGTGGGGTTTCAGTCCGGAGAGCTGCAGCGCGTGTCTTGGAGTGTGCGTCAGTGTGCGCGCCTGCCTGAGTTTGTGATGAGTGGAAGACGTTAGGAGAACAACTGGTGTGGAGCAACTGTAGGCTGGCATTTAAACCCCTCTGCCTGCTGCAGGATCACAGGGTTAAATTTAGCACGAGCCCCCAGAAACCTGACCCAACGTTTAGCTGTTGCTGCACATCTACACTTCACATCTCTGTTGGGCCCTGGTCTCCAGGGCTTTAGGGTCCGTTTGTGTTTGCGTGTGTGGGGGGATCCGTGCGCGCGCGTCTTTCTTAAGAGGGCAGCGTATGATCGAGTTTCCGTGGAAATGGGGCAGATAATCTGAGATCAAAAATGGCCGTCTTAATGAGCTAATCCCAGACTCAACGTCACCCTTCTATGACACCATACATATCCTCTGGAATTGATGGGTGGGTTGGTGGTGGTGATTGGGGGCGGTTGTGGACAGCTGTCACTACTACTAGGTGATATTATATGCAGTGACAACAACTCTACTGTTGATGCCTACAGTATATGTTGATGGGACACAAAATGAGGCCAAACAGAAGCTAAGAGTCACTAAAGTGTTGGTAAATTTTCCATAACTTCCACGAATACTCCTGTCTAGGCTTTACATAAACATACAGTTATTAAACCTAAGATGGTTGGACAGTGTGATGCCAGTGACCTTTGTTTCAGACCGGGACAAATGACAATGAGTCAAGCAGCTAAATTGTTAGATCATTTTCCAAAAAAAAAAAAAAAAAGGGTTAGTTTGGCCTTCATCGTCCTGTCCTCTCTCTCACTAGGGTTGCAACATTAGCTTAGCCACCAGGTGTTAATCCTTCCAGGACATGTCTCACCTCATAGCTCACAAGCTAATTTGGACCGGCTTCCAAAGGCACAAAGGACGAGCCAAAACACACACACACTACTGTCCACAGAGAAGCGTCCAGAAATGGCAGGCATGGTGTGAGTGGTATGTGTTACATCCCTGTGTATTCCATATCACTGCTCCGTGTTAATTACTGTACTATTGCATACATGTATTCGCTAATGATACTCAAAAATAATGGACAGTAAAGTAATGTCTGCTAATAAACGACAGAGCTAAAATATCTGAGCTTTCTGACCAACAAAATCTCAGGACTTGAGGCTAGAGACTTGTTGCAAGACAGAACTGAACTGGTATTAATGTCTTTATCACATCTTATGATCTTTGAAGTGTTTAAAAAAAACTGTTTTATTAATGGTTGTGTTAAATCCAGTATGTCTTTTCATAGGTAGTGATATGATACCTGCTGGATCAGTTCACCGTCATATCTAACTGTCATCGGAACTAATTAATTACACTGGCGCATAAATATCTGTGCTACAGAGAGGTGTACATACAGTATATCTTAGTAGTAGCGAGTCAGAGTTTTTAAATTGTTGTATGTAATACTGACCGGAACTAGCCGACATTAAAACTCCCCTCCCTCCATAAATAAATCTGCTAACAAGAGCATGACCGCTGACGAAAAAGTCTGATGAAATCTGATGAAAATCTTTTCCTGTGGTATTTTAAGAGGAAACAAATCTATGCCAATTAGTTTTCCGGTTTGAAAAACAAACCCATGTTTTATTTGTTTTTTTATTTTATATTTATATTTTCACAGGTGGCTAAAGTCTTGATTGATACTGTATTTTTTCATAATACAGTATTACAGATGGGCAACTCATTATGAATTGGATCATGTTGCACTGCACTTGTTATAATAATTTGGCCATACTTAAAAAGCACATGTTTCTTATGTAGCATGTGTTTGTGTTGAATCATATGACCTTTGACCTCTTTATGATGTTTCAGGTGAATCTAAAAAAACAGTTTTCTATTAAAACCTGCTGCTGATAAACATAAAAAGCCAAAAGTGAGCACTTTATTTGAGATTATCACTCAGTATACAGTGTTTTGTTGTTTAGACTAATGACACTGGCAGACTCTCTGTGGTTTGTGTTCTGGCCCCGGCCTTCCGTCTCTGGGTTGGGTTGGAGGCTGAGCGCAGCAGTGTTACAGCTTGGCGCAGGGCTGCAGTGGGCTGACAGGTTAGTCTGTGATGGATCGTCACTGATGGTGGAGCGAGCACAAAGACGCCTGTGTTGGACTCAGAAGTGCAGCAGGGAGGGGGTCTGCAGTGTGTCAGAGTCACTCATAACCCTCTGTCATCTTAACCCATTGTCAGCAGAACTGGAGATCGCGTGTGTGTGTGTGTGTGTGTTTGCAGTGTCAGGCTCACACTTGTGTCTTGTTTGGGAAAGAAGTCAACCATCAGCATTTTTAAGTCAACACTTGAGGTGCAGTAAACCAGGGAGGAGTTGGTGTTTTATTCACCGTGAGTGAATAAAAACCAAACCTTAATCCCAGTTTCTAATAGAATAATCCCAGCAAAGAGGCAAACACCCCACCAACCACCACATTATACAGCTGCGATTAAAATTTTCTTAGAAGGGTTTGTAGATAATAATAGATAATACATCGATATGGTAAATATTTAAAGGCAGGGAAAACATGTTTGTATTCAAGATACATTAGCTCTCTCTCTCTCTCTCTCTGTGTGTGTGTGTGTGTGTGTGTGTGTGTGTAGCAGGGATTGCCCTGTCACTGGCAACACTCTTTTTGACAAGCAGCAGCACATTGTGGGACAGCTGAGCTGCAGGGGGAGGAGGAAGGGAGGAGTGGAGGATCGAGGCTCCCCACCCCAAGTTAGCCTGAAGATCAGGACTGACCTGGTGGACGGTCATCTGAGCGCCCACTGGAAGTCTCAGATATGTAAGATGAGAGGATCACAACAACAGGAATGAAGTTGTTCAAAGGTGCAGACAAAGGTGACCGTGTGGTGACACCGTCCACAGTAATGTGGGCTGTAGGAGGTTTGGAGAGAAGATGGCTTTTATCAAAAAGTTCTATAATAATCTAAAGTTTGAATTTGTATATATAATATAGGTATAATATATATATTTGTATATATGTAGGTGTAATATATACATATAGATACATACTGTTTTTGTTTGTATATATACTGTTTATGTATGTATATATTTGTGTATGTGTGTGTGTTTACATGAATATATTTTATGTAGATAGATAGATAGATAGATAGAAGGTGTAATATATACATATAGATACATACTGTTTTTGTTTGTATATATACTGTTTATGTATGTATATATTTGTGTATGTGTGTGTGTTTACATGAATATATTTTATGTAGATAGATAGATAGATAGATAGATAGATACAGTATCTATCTATGTGCGCATGTAATTGCCAATAAATACCAATTCTAATTCTAATCCTGATGCTGATTCTGATAAACTGACAGAGATACAGCAGACTGATCTACTGTCTTTTTTATTCCCCTTGAAAGCCACTGTTCTGTCTTCAGTCACAATGAAACTTCAGGTCCATTACTGTCTAAGTCTTTTTTTTTCATACAGCACAATTTAACCAACCGTCAAATGAATGAGCAGCCAGGGCTGTTTCCTGCTCTCCTTCTCCTCATCCGGCCATCTCAGTCTGTTGAGTAACAAACCTTACATAAGTCACCGAGCTGCTGCATTTGACTGATATCTGAAGGTGATGTGACACTGTTGCGGCCTGGCTAATCATCGGGAGAATACCCCCATTCATTTCTGCTCCAGATGAATTGGTCCACCTGTGTTTTCACAGGACTCTGGAGGCCTGGAGAAAGCTTTCATAGTCAGAGGGGGGAACAGTAGTTCTGTAGCCTGGCCATGCTGCTGCTCACTGGGGCTTTTATCGCAGCGTAATCCCCTACAACAAACAGAATGGCCGGCATGTGCATACGCAGCTGTCGCAGTCTTAGTGCAAGTGGTGTCATGTTAAATCACAAGAATGGACTGAGCCCCTGAACCATCCGCTGCCCTTCCCTCTGCTGGCATCCCACTCCCCGCATGGCTCCAGCGCACACACAGACAAATACACACCTAACATACTGATACTCACATACATAACCCAATTCTTTCTAACATACTTTGTGGCACATGCTAGGCCCAAACATGACTTGTATGACCTGATACAAACAGCCTGATTAGTTATCATCCAGACATGCCATATAAAAACAAGGGGTTATCCCTTTCACAAATGCAGGGTTTAAACCCAGTAATGTATCTGAGTGAGCAAAGCCCAGCCCGCTTTAACTGAGTCGGCTTTAATTTAAAAGCAATTAACACCTTGACGATTCCCGAAGGGTTAACCACGATCAACATCTCTCTATGAGAGACGGCTGAACTCAAGGCTCTGAATCCAGTGACGAGAACTTGTGTTGTGAGATCTGAGTGGATCACTATGCAAAAACTTTGCCCCAGTTCCAGTCGGGGAATCTTGTCTTATCATCTAACGCTTCTGGCTTCCTGTGCACGACATGACGAGCTCGATTTTGTTTCTTCTCAAATCTCATCCTGTCGCCATTTAGCTCCACCTTTATTTCCTCTTGTGGTTGTACTTTTATTAGGAAAATCTCTCTGTCTTTAAATTTCCATACGCCTATCTTTGTTTTTCTCCGGCTCCACTGACCTTCTCCTGTGTCAGCAGAGGGACAAATTTAGCGGCCTGGTTTCTGGAGCGACCAAATAGTTGGACACAACAGTAGGAATGTGTGTGTGTGGAGGTGAGTAAAGAAAGGTCCCCGTCACACAGATACAGTTACAAATATCCAGACACATAACCAGAAGAAAGCAAAGGTTCGTAAACAGGCCGAGACTCGTCGTTCTGGAGGAATGCAGACGAAGGACACGGAAATAGATATGCGCTTAAAAATGCTTCACGTAAACAACCAAACAAAATCTGACCGACAGCAGTGAACTATATTTTAAATAAGAAAGTTATGTTCAATAAAGCATATTAATTTTAACTGTTTATCCTGCAGAAAGTATTACTTGCTCCACCAGGGGTGAAAAGAGAATGTGTGAAGTTATTCCGGGATGTTGGGATGAAGAGCATGTTGCCACGGAAACATGAAAATCCCCCACTCCTCCATGAGCCTGTTAAGCTGCCAATCTATGACTGCCATGACACCAAAAGGCGTCAGGCCATTCTTCTCCTCCACGCTCTATGACGCACCAGACGCCAGTAACAATGCAGCGAGCCATTCTTGAACTAGAGGCTGAGAGAGAAAGCATTTGGCATTAGTGTGTGAGTGGAACATTTAGCTGTGTGGTCACAGAGAGGCCTTCCTGCAATATGGTGCTAACTAACAAATGCCTAACGTGTTTCATTCGACTACTACAGAAGGCCAAGTGGTGGTAAAGTGGGTCGTGTTCTTGCCTTATTGAAAGAATAACTCTGGTTTGATCCTTGATTTTTTCTTAATGAGGTCTGTACGATCACACCGACAACTGTGCTGTATCTCATTACTGTTTTTGACTGTAAATAATTTGTCTGACAGTTACAGAACAGCAAACATTATACCATTAAATAGACTATAAAATCTGAAAGAAAAAGAGAGTAAAGTTGTTGAAGAAGATAATGTTGTCTTTATTCAATTCCTGGCTACACATCTGGGTTGTGTTCAATTAAACAGGGCCAGGTTTCACACTGAGAATTGAAAATTGAATCTAGAAATTCATTGTATTTCATTACATATACATTTTGTAAATTTTTTGGTTGGTGCATCACAGTACTTCTCTAACATAAATCTCTAATACAATATTATAAATTGATTTAAAAAAATTAAATCTGCTTTGACTATTTGAAAGTTTGTATTCCATTTTATAATAAATAACTTTACTGTACAGTTTAAAAAGGTGATTACATTATTAAGTGTTATGGTAATCTGTATTTAAACTTTGGGTGTCAGAGGGTTTGGAAGGGCCTGGGGACTTCCCACCTTCAGAGAATATCCCGAATAAATACTCAGTGTCTAAATAGCACCCCGGGGGGAAATGTCTGAGGGTAAAATGTCTGATCATACCAAAATGTTGGGGGGGGGTTCCAGGGAGAGGCAGCAGACACAAACAAGTAGCAGCAGCAAACCAGCGAGTAAGCACACGAGTCACAGGTGCCCAAGCCCTGTCAAGACTGAGAGGACATAGGACAGCTGGGCCTGTCATACAATGACTTATTCTTTAACCCAAACACACAGCACCACCACACACACACACCAGAGGGGACTGTACATCAACTCTGTCAGTAGAGTGACTTAGATCAAACAGTAATCTTCCAACTTTTATTGGACGCAGCAGACCGTTTTTATTCGGATATTGTACAAAACCATTAAACTTTAGCGGCACTTTCTTCAATCACATTTTTCCATCATTGTTGTCGTCAATGTGGATTATTATCGGTGGTACGCGTGTCCACGGGAGGTTCGTTTAAGGCGGCGCAGAGAAGATAAATACAACGTGTTCATTTTGGAATAACTTTTATACAGCTGATACAGCTCTCACAACAGCTCAGTGCTGGTGTGGGTCACAACAGGAGGCATGCTCTACACAAGCATTACATGTCGTCAGTGGTATTGTACAGCTTCACTGTGCACCAGACACAACGTCGAGTCTTTTCTCCATCTGCTGGCAGATTAAGCACAAGTTAAGAGCAGAGAACAACAGAACGATATCATCAAAAAAAAGAAAAGAAAAGGTGTTACACGTCACCGTTGGTCTTCATCTGTTAAATCGTAACTAAACTCTTCAAATAATGCAGATCAATTAAAATAAACTATTATATACAAATAAGTCATTCATTGGCAGTGAAATGCTTAAATTAAATACCCTCCTCCTAAGTACTGCAGTAATCACCTCTTACGTTTTCTTTTGCCTGAAAAAGTCCACATTTCAGAAATCAATTTGTTGAAAATGTTCACAACTTGGGAACTTTAACAAGTGCCACATTATTCTGATTCATTCCACGTAAACAACAAAAACTAATCTGACTGAGAAATAAATTAAACACTAGATATACAGAATATTTTTCATTATAAGACCACCAAGGATAGAGAAGCATTGTTTCAGTATGATACCATTTCAACATTAATTGGCAATTAGAACATAAATTACTGCAGACAAATTTGTCCACGTTTTGAGAGTATATTGAATACATTTTAACATCAAATTACCACTTTAAGGAAAAACTACAGTAAATACTTTAGCTGCGCATTCTCAAGCAGGTTATAGGTTTGATTCTGCATTTTTTATATAATACTATGTCAGGTAAAACAGGCCATCATTGGATCACATTTGTTTCCTACTACGTCACATTCACTGTTTCTGAGATGAAGAGGTTTGTAAAGAAAAAGCACTGTTTGATGTGTTCATGTGGACGAGGTGACCAGTTGTGTTACAAACAGCTCAGTTGTCCTTCAATCATGTGGTCAGAGACCCCACACCTACAAGTGAAAGTGAACATGGGTCTTTGAACTGCAATGGAAAAACCCAGGAGAAAATGCAGTCTTTAAAGAAAAGCCTTCATCAAGTCTAGTAATCTTTTCCAAATAGCTGTGCATTGCGTATAGTATTTGAATGTGGCACCCAAATAATAAACATGTCTGACTGAGTGTGGAAAAGTTTCAGGAGGCAGTGTGACGCAAATTAACTTACACGACAGAGAAAGTGTCACCAAGTGCTATCTTTGTATCGATGTAGCCTTAAGTGTAAGGTGCATGCAACTGTATCGTCAAATATGTGTGTTTTTGTCTACAGTAAAGACCTCAACCAGACTGTAGTGAATGAATGTAAAGGAGGGAGGGACATTTTTAAAGGATAAATATCTTAATAACATTTTGTATGATCTTCCCACATCCTGGACAAGGGGCTTGGAACTTATGCAGCCTCCTTGCACATGGGAAGCATGTTAGCAGGTGAGCTGTGCGTCCATGTATTATGTTTCCATTGCGGGGTCGCACTCGGCAGAGCTTACAGGGCTCTAACAGAGCCTCGGGCCTGACTTCCTCTACCTCCATGCCCAGGTCTTCCTGACTCTCAACTCCTGAATGCAGATCAGCCTTGAGGAAGGCTGAGGGCCGAGGCCCCTGACTCCTCCCTGCTGACATGGTGGGCAGCGGCCGATCTGCATTGGAGTGAGAGGGAAGGATGACAGGGTCAGACACCGTCCTGCTGCAGTCTGGGACGTCAATGCCAGCATCGCTGTCGTCGTCCTCATCGTGGGTGGTGAGGGAACTGCACGCCGGGATGTCAGGAACAGAAAGGGAATGGGCAAGTCGGGGGATATCTTTGTACCAGTTTTTGCGCAGGGCCCAGCATCGAACACAGTACCTCTGTAGAGGTGTGTTGTACTTCCTGCACTCAGTGCACTGCCATGCATCCTGAAAAAAAATGAAAACCCAAAGTGTTGGCTCCTCATGTTGTGTCTGACATTGCTTCTCTAATCTTAAAGTATTAGTACAATTCAGGGTAAAGACATGTGTCATTTTTGCAATATAACAACATTTATAGACATTCAAGACATGTCTCATTTTTGCAATATAACAACATTTATAAGCTTACAATAATTTTGGAAACAAGAGACCAAACATCAAGAAAGAAACAATTCTGGAAATACCTGAAATACATTTTCTAAAAGACAAATACAGAAACACAGCAATGACTTTGGATTAGAAGGTTACAAAGAGTCATTAAACAGGGCAGTTGGGCGCCATCTAGAGGGAGTACTGAGCAGAATGGGACATTAGAGGGGGCAAACACCACCCCATTCTGCTAAAACACACTGCTAAAACTTCCTGTTTAGTTTTTGTCTTAGAAAAAAAGAAATTCATTGACTAAAATAGTGAGTTGACAAAACATCAGTGGTTGTGAGAGGAAAAATACAAACCTGTGTGGAGATCTCTATATCTGTGTCATCACTCAAACACTGGGAGTCTTCGTCTGGCTCCTCCTGCATCTAAGACATCCAATAACATTAGCCCTTAATCATGTGTGATGACTAGCGGTTAGTGTAAATTCTAATATCTTTGTCAAGGCAGCCCATGTTTATTGGTCGATAACAGACAGGAAGGAACCAATTGCAAAAGTTAACCTCTCGGTCAGCCTTCTCGTCTCTCCCTCCTCCATCATCATCCTCGGGCGATGCTTCCCTCTCGGCCCCGCACCCCTCCTCTAGCGCCGCCTCTTTCATCACCACGCTCACCTGTTCACTCTCACCCTCAGTCAAGAACCACAGGTCATCAGTGGTATCAGAAACGATGGCTGTGTCCTCCTCCTGTGCAGGAGACAGCTGACACATCAGTCAGACCAACACTGTTTAACTCAACAACTTATGTCATGTTTCAACAAGGTTTTCTTTTTCCATTGATGGAGGTATTAAACTCTTCTTTAATAATTTGTCATGTCTCTTACTTGGTTTGTGTGGATGTCAGTGGAGCCGTTGCTTCTGCGGCTGTAGTTACTTCGCAAATTTCCCAGGAACCACCAGGGCAGACCGGAGAGATCCCAATCATCCAGAGTGACATCTAGTTTGGGGCGTTTGCATGCAGACCGCGTCAGGCCTTCAATGGAATCTAATGATAATTATTTTTATGGTAAGTTCTGTGTTTGAAAAAAGTGCTTTATTGTTTGGATTTGTGAATATTTATTAGTCAGTTTACCATCGTCTGGCTCTCGCGGTCGTCTCTGGGAGGGGGTCTGCAGGAGAGGCACGTCACAGCCTGACTCTACTCCTGCTTTAACCACACCTCCACATTTCTACAGAGAGAGGACAGCAAAGAGATGAATTAGAACACAGAGCAGCGACTGGGCACTTGGAGGTCTCACAGCTTCGTTTCAAAATGGCCTCCTGTCGTGGCAGTTCAAGGGAAAAAGAGCTGGGCAACTGGGGTATGGAAAAGTGGGGGAGGGGTTTGACACCACTTTGAACAATTATAAAAATCTGTGATGATCTGTCGAGTTGAAGACAACTGAGACAGTCCACAGGAATGTCAGTGAGGAAGTTAAAGCCAGTGTTTCTAAAAAACATACAGAAGATAAAGTGTTTAAAAGGGTTAAGGTTGTGACTTGTTTAAATTGTCAATTATTAAAACAAAAATATAAAATAGTAGTAGTAGTTTGCATTTACCTTTTTTGATCCATCTGCTTAATTTACTGTTATTTTTTTCATCAGATTGACAGCTACTTCAAAGTATTTAGAATCTGCAGCAATTACGTTTTCTTGGTTTAGCTCAATTAAACACAAACAGCAGTGTCGCCAAACGGACATAGAAGGGTGAAGGAACACAGGGGATAGGATAAGAGGTTTAGGTTTGGTTCTAAGGCCCCCGTGACTGATCAAAAGCTGTGATCCTCCAGCTCGGTGCAGAGAAGAGAACTCTGAGACAGACAGAGACATTGACTCTGCCCCCCATCCACAGGGTAGCACAGGTGGGTAGCAAAAGTGTTTAGACAAAACCCACCAGACCAAACCAGGGATGGGGTTGTACAGAGACGGTGCCACTCTGTACAAATGCACACCAACGAAGACAGCGGCCCTCACCGCTTCCCCTCCTCATTACACACAAGTAGAAAAAGATATTTTTACATAATTTTGGAAATGTCTAAATCATCTACTGATATACTAAAGCATACTAGACTCCATTCAGGTTCAGTGGATATCTTTTACTCTACTTAACTGATAACTAATTATTTTTTTCTCTTCAGTTTTGCCTTTATCTGATGCTGCAGAAATGTGTCCTTTCCATTTCAAGATGTTGTGTGTAGCGAGGTGAGAAAGGGAGTCGGGCTCCGTTTCTTCTGAGCACCATGTTTCAGCTTTACCTGACCACGGTCTTCCACTCCGCCCTCTACACACTCACGGCCCACAGACAGATTCTCTGCAGCGTCTGCATTTCAGATAAGACACAATAACAGAAAAAGGACACCCCCACCCTTTAATAATAGTATGACACACTGTCTCACTCAGGCCTTTGTCTGGGGCTTCGCAGGACAAACTGGAATTAGGAAGTTCCAATTTCCTATAATCTGTAGTAAACTGTCAGAATCAAAAATAAAAAAAAATATGATTGAATAAACAATTTATGGAATTGAGCAGGGAGCTGATGAGTAGATACCCTGGAGTTTTTCCTTCAGATGAACTATGATTAAAGTAAAGGTGATAAAAATGCTGAATTAATTAAAGGGATGATAATTTACTATTTCTATTGAAAATGCCCCATTAAAAACACTTTCACAATGACATAGAACAAGGTTAAATCCCAGCTTCACTTACCAGTGCAACCAGGCACAACCAGGTACTTCTTAAGCATTTCATAGACTGGGCTGTTGAAAATAAAGAATTTAGTGAGAATTTAGAATGGATATCCAGATGTAAACAGTCTGGACTGCTATGACTCTGTGTAAACACCTTGGGTTTTTAACAGAGAAGCTTTCCACTTCCAGAAGTTCTCCTAAGGGGTCGTCCTGGCAGTGGACTATGTGCTGCCTCTGTTTGTCGTACAGTTGCTTCCCCATGATGTACTGACCCAGGTAGTGCATCACCTAGACACAAGTGAGAAAAATAAAACTGATGAGTGAAAGGGTCTATGTGTAAACATGACAAACAAAGAGTGGACAAGTCACCTCTTTGAGTGTGAAGACTTCTTCATGTGCTCCAGCAACACGCAGGATTTGTAGGAGAGGGGCCTTTGGTTGTACCTGTAGAAAAAAAGACCAGATGCCAATCAAAGAGTGACCATACTGCACTGAGTATAAGAACGATGGACAAGGTTCAATATTGTCTCATAAAATGCAATTGGAAAAAAATATTTAATTTTTACACATTTAAACATTTTTCAAAATTGACACTGTATATGTTAGAACTCGTATACATTATATATATTAACACAATATACCTGATTTCCCTCTCCAGGCAGAGTCCTGCATGAGCTTGATGCCGGAGCCTGGGCTGACAGTGAGGTCATGATAAACAAGAGAAATCTGCGCAAATAAAATATATAAGATTCAAAACATAGCAAATTTAACAGTTTTAAAATTGCTTTAGTTTAATACCCGAATAAGCATGCACAATTGTTTAAAGTATGCATTTTAAATTGATTTATTTCTAGAAGGATAACAAGCAATATGAGGTCTCCTAATTGTGTTAACTGTCTGGTCCAATACTGCCCCCTACTGGAGGAATTACTAACTGCTAAACATTGACAAGAAGCATCCTCACCACAGGCAAAAGAAAGAAAAAGGAAGAAAATACCTGCCAAATGGCGTAGCCTTGATAATGAATACACTTCTTTAATTTAAAAACTATGAACTGAGCAAGAATACATTTGCAAACCTCGCAACTAATATCAACATAACCAAATTATCTAACGTCGTATGAGATAACGACCTCTAGAGCCACTGAACACTTGACTGTTCAGTGGCTCTCGGGCTGGCCCTCTTATTAATAGTCAGTCGTGTAAAACATTGACCCTTTCTAACTATAAAATATCCAATCCAAACACCACGGCTGACATATATTGGTCGAATACTACAGAACAGCTGGGTTGGAATCATCAGACCACGGCACATTTAATTCTCTTTTTTTTTACATTCACAACGCAGACTTGCACCGACGACACCAGAACGAGATAGCTCAGATTAGATAAACCAGCTAGTTTATCTACGATAGGTACAGGACCTAATACAAGTGAATATTGTCCCCACTATGCGGTAAATGTGTGTCATACATCGGCCGATAGCCAACGTACAGCTAATGATAGCTGGGTTAGCTTGCTGTCGCTAAGTGCTAAACAAAACGGCCGTTAAAATGGTCTCACCGTGCTGAGCTGACATTCCTACGCCGCCGCTACATTGCCCCAAAGACGCGGTGTTGCCTTAATAATTAAGTCCATCTTACAAATAGATAAATTGTCGATAAAGTCACAACAGTAGCTAACTATAATTAACAGGTTACTCAAATGCAAATTCAAAACCACGAATACTGCTAAAGTTCCGGATGCACAACTCCACAATACTACACCTCTCTGAACTGTACTGCCCCCTATTGTTACATGCGATAAAGAAAAGCATAACAGTGTCTCGTCAGTCTTAAAAGAAAGAAAAAAATCCCTTTAGTGGCAAAACATTGATAGTTAGTTGTATTGAAATTTGTATCAAGATGTTGTCTTTTCTACAGAGGTCTTCCAAGGTTGTTGACCATTTTGACGAATAACACTTAATATTTTTTACATACGCTTCAAAAAACAACAATAAACAATGCACAATGTAATTTGAGTTATTTTAAGATTTAAGATTTGACTGAAAAGGTGTCCACTATCCAATAGTAAGTGAATTATTGTCATTGCTAGTATACCAGCAATGCATCATCCCATTTAAGTACATTTACTGTAGAAATAATTTAAAAAAGACAGACACCAGAGAGTATTGAGAAAGAGACTTCATTTAATAATTGCATAAACATAAAAATAAATCTTGCTACAGAAAAAAATAATGTCTTATTTAGCGTGAAAAATGAGAAAAGGATGATCACAAATAACACATGGAAAATTATGTCAATATACATAAAAATAGATAACCAAAGAGGCACAGAAGCAATATTTTCACAGATCTGTAGAAACAGTGCAAAAACAAAACATGTAAATAATACATCCAAATAAATTCTGAAATAGCCTGGACTGATCTATAATGACAGCTGTGTGAAGACAAAAGCATAAATCACATATATTCAGTTACGTTTGTAACCAGGTCCCTCCATCTGCCCTAGAGAAAAACCTTTAAATCAGTCTTTCTTATCAAAATAGCTTATTCACTGGGATATTATTGCCTCTACTGGAGAAAGAAAATATATCATAAGACCTGCCTTTGTCAGAAGTTACAATACTTACAAAAATAGATGTATAATTGAATAGAGAAAAATGGGTGAAAAAACAAAGAACTACAATCAACTCATCTAAAGTAAAGCAGCGGAATATGAAAATGCTAAAATCCAGTTTTATAAACAGCGTAACTATTGTATAAAACACATTCAATTAGTGTTTTAAGAACATTTTCAAGCATGTTAAGATTTGTTTTAATTCTGAATGAGTCAATATACAAAAAAAAGTCTACAACTCTGGTCAATACTAAAAGAAACATCTCTTATCAACCTGATTTGTTACTGAATTTAAGTGACATTGTAGAAATTTTAAAAAGCCACTGCTGTACAGTAAACTATGTTTAAATCACTAGCCACATGCATTTTGCATATGTTGCTACAATATAAGACAACAACATACTAGACTGACTAGTAACAGAAACAGAAATGAGGACTGGTATACTCACTCAGGTGTCTAAATATTTTTTAGAATGTTCAAGTAAAGATTGTATTGTAGTTTTAATAATCATATGAATATGCTACGGTTATTTTAACCGACTAATATAACAATAAAAGTGCTTTGGCAGTAATTCAAGTCTTTCATTACACCTGGAATGGAATTTGAAAATATTGGCTGTCTTTATGCTACAATCTACATAAAAGGCTAATCTCAGCCTGAAACAGTCAAACAACAAATACTGCAATGACACAAATCATAAGGAACATAATTGAGATTTGTATCACATACGTTACCTACCCTAAATAGCAACTTAAAGTGAAGTTTAAGTAATATTTTATACTTTACTATTTCATTTACAAGTCTTTAAATGAAAAGTTTTGTCTGGATTCAGTATCAAAAACCCTCAGCAATACAGATGAAACCACAGCTTACAGTGAATGCTTTAAGAACAAATCAGTAAAGAAAGACGTGAATAGTACACAGACAGAGAGAACAGCATTGAGTCCGGCTCTTTACAGTTGCTGAGTAAAACGACTGTTATTGTTTTCTGACACAAACATCATGAGTATATTATCGTGTCATCGTTTACGGCTTCTCTCTATTTTAATACTACAAAAAATACTGTAAGCCGAAACTGCTTCTTACTTCTGTAACGCCTGTATTCTACTTCTAAATCATGGAACAGGAGTCCATATTTACTCCAGTCAATGCCGAATGAAAACACACACAGAGCGACACGACAGACCACATATTCAGATGCAACAGCCGTTACACAACTCAGAAACGACGAGAAAAGCTCTGCAGGAAACCAGACGCCTTTTTTTGGGTTTAATCCCCCTCCCGAAGTTATAACTTGAACAAGGAAGCTGGGTAAGACGTTGTCCCGCTGCTGCTGAGTCCTCCAGCCACCAGGGGATGGAGGGAAGTGAGAAGCAGATGTTAATCAGCATGTGGGACCAACGGAAACACCCAGGCATCGTGTAAGACTGTGTTAAATTATGTCTTGATGGCACTCATTCTAAGAGGTCCTACGAGGAAACACAAGTCACACACTTAACAGCGTGATAATTATAACAAGGCACAACTTAAAATGATGGGTCTGGGACTCCTTGTCCAGAGGTCAAATCTGACCTTTGGACAGATTTTTCGGCTTAAACCTGATGCTCAAAATTACAGTGACTTTAAACTGTTCTTTTATATATATGTATTTCTGTGAGAAAATAATTTTACAGTGCAGTAAAACCCCATTATCATTTGGTCACTTTGTGAAAAAGCAGTAAAATTAAATCTATATCTATCTATAACTCAGAGAGACCTCTGTTTTTAAATAATACCAGCTACCTGATCTGAGTCCTCGTTGTACTGTGCTTTCCCCGTCTCCACGTTTTGAGTGTCAACATCATCTACTTCTTCGATCTTATTGGCTTCGATGTGTTCCCTCATCACAGAGTACCGATGCACAAGGAACCTGGTGAGGGCAGGTACATGTACGTAAGAAACGGACAAAAACTAAGGAGGAGTTTGTGTCAATAGAGGAATTACTGACCGTCCTCCGCAGACGTACTTCTTGACCAGCCAAACTCCTGCGACCCCGCTCATCAGAAGAATCACTATGACAATCATCACTATGATGGCAGCATTTGGTGAGCTGGTTTCACTCTGTTTACAAGGAAATACGAGAGAAAATCTCAGAACTCCAGGTTGTTTAATCTGCTTTTGAGAAATTCACACCTACAGTGCTGCCCAGGTCAAAGGTCATTTTTTTCGTTGTGTGTGCATGACTGACCGGAGAATTTTGATGAAGCAGGTTGCTGGTGCATATTCTCTTGAGTTCAATTTCCTTCCTAGTTGGCTGGAAACCTCCCTCACACTGATCACCTGGAATCTTCCGGTACCTAATTGGATAGATAAAATAAATAGAGACTGATGTTTCCCGTTCAAAGAATACAACATGAACATACGTTTGGACACTTCAAGGAAAAATAACAGACATTCTTACCCACTCGTCTGCAGCTGTTCTGCAGTCCCATTTAAACAGAACTCAAGAGGACGGCCAATCATCTCCTCCTGCTCCACACACTCAGAGCTGTTCTCTCGTCTGTAATATCCAAAGTCACTGGGGAAAAAAAAAATCAATTAGGAGTCTTTGTAATGTGGGACGTGCAAAATAAATGACCTGATGAAGTAAATCCCCAAATAAAACAAATTAGCAGAGCTCTGGGATTTAGCTGCTCAGCCATGTTATCACCATGAAAGGACAATGGTGATTGACCACTAGTCTTCAGAAAATAATTCAGGTTGTTTGTATATTACCATGCTTCTTTTTCATAATTTATCAAATATATATCTCTATTACTCTTTTGCAGTGGTTCCCAAAGTGGGGGGCGCACTCCACTAATGGGCACAAAGCTATTGTAGGAACAGGCGTTCTTTATTAAATATTTTTTTATGCCGAATTAGGAATATTGCACTCTACCTATGATTTCAATTTTAGTGAGTGAGAATAGCAGTCTTTGAATTAAGTTTGGTGGAGTTTTATCAACAACAGCTGTGAACGTGTGCACTGTGATCGACAACAATCCTATCTACAAAAGGAGAGAGCACTGCAGAAAACGTTTTCCAAGAATATTACACAAACGGAAAATGACGTACCAGTGGTAATCATCCATTGTGCATGTACAAGGAGCCAGCTTCTTTGCGACAGCATAGTCCCTGCCATTCCAACAGACGGAGTCTTTCCTTAGGCGCAGAAAGGTTTCTTTATAGCCAAGCACACAACCATCCTGTAATCCATTGGGGTCTGTAGAGTGAGCCATCCACTGCACATAGTCCTTTTCAGTGCCTGGACATAAGTTACAACTCAGTACTCAAAACTCAGTACTCAAAACATCAGTCACGTGTAACAAAGGTCTCACAGTCTCTTGTTAGCAGCATCCTGAAGTCTATGGTGATGACTATTTTCTTCCTGTTCCTGTAACCCCACAGGCTGACGTTCATGGAGCGAAAGCCAGGCTCACTGACAATTGCACCAAAATACAACGGGTCGTTGGTGAAGTTGTAAATATTCCAGCACTGGCCCTCATTTGTTGAGAACCTGCAGATGGAAAAGACATTGATTAAACCTGTAGGTAAAACCAAATAATCCAAACAAAAAAAAGTTCATAGGATTCAATATGATCAGTAATCCTCACTTAATCTGGTTGACCGGTGAGTTGGTGTGTTCCACGGCCAACAGCAGGGCCCCAGAGTCAAGGATTTCATAGTGATGGGGGCCAGTGAGGGCCAAGAACCAAGAGTATCCACCATCATCAGACACATAAACATTAGGGGACAAAGCTGACTCTCCATCTCCAACACTGCCTGAGGAATATGGAAAGAGAATAAGTCAAGACAATATGAACGACTTCAGGGCAGAAAAACGTACCAGGTTATAAAGACACAGTTTTGTTCTTTTGGTTCCTACCATGAGCCAGAATGAGGCCCACAGCGTTGGGCTGAGAGTAAGGCAGACTGGGGACGTTCATCTTTAAGGTGGTGCTATAGGAGGCGTGGATGTGAAGTCTGCACTGTTAAGACACAGCCATCAAAGCAAAGTCAGTACTAAGTCACTTTGTCACTGTGGAGACTCGGGCTGTCAAGTGTTGATGAGCTACAGCCAGATCTGGTCTGGGAACATACCATTCAAAGCCACAGTGGCTGTTTTACACGGGATTCTGTGTTGAGTCAAAAACTGAACTCTGTCACATGTAAACATTCCTACAGGCTGTTTGATAAACAACACTGCTGTTTGTCTGCACAGGTATGACTTCAAACCTTTTCACATCTGGGTCAGAGCTCATCCTTTATTCTCCATCGCCGTGGACTGAGGTGAAAGTCTCTGCAATCGTTCAAGTCGTTCTACACTGAGACGCTTGAAGTCGTGCAATAGTAATGCTGAAAAAGTGTCCAGTGTTTTTCCTGACCAATGCTTCTCTTAATTGTTTACTGACTTTGGCAAATTCGAGGAAGAGTCTAAAGTGTCCATTTCATGATCATCCAGGCTCCTCAAAGTCTTAGAATCAGTTTTCTCAGATTTGTGCGTTGCCGCAATTTCATCACAGAGGTCTACAAAGAGTTCCTTGGATTTCATGGCTTAGTTTCAGCTGTGATTTATGGAACTTTATATCCAAGTAAATGCCTTCCTAAACTATACTGTCGGTTTATATGGTCACAGCAGATGTCAAGATTATTTATAGACGTGTAAAAAAAAATTTAGGCAAATCTGAAGCTATTGTTTGTCACTAAAATTTAATTATATTTTAACGTTCGTAAAAGCAAACAAAACATGACATGAGGACTGACTATTTCTTTAGCCGTTGAGCAGAAACACAAAATTATATTCTCACTGTAATTGGCCTGTTAGTGGAGGTCCCAGAGTCACAATGGCTGTTCTTTGGTCCGTGCAGCGTCTGCCACCTTCCTCCTTGGTCGAAGGTGATCATGGTCTCCATTGTTCCATCTGTAAAAAAAAAACAATGTGATGTCAGTGTGAGCTCAATTTTGAAGTTTGATAGTGTGTGACTAAAGCAGCTGGAAATAGACAATTAGTGAACACATGACATTCTTATAAGAAATAAAAAACTATAAAGAACTCGTTCTTTCCACATATTTTACTTTTTCTCCTGATTATTCCCAAAAAGTACACAGTATGTAAACTCACCCTCTGTGAGTACAGTAGTCATGTAGACACCTCTCAGTGATTTCACGGTGGTGAAGTCAGTGTCACCTCCCGTGGTTGTGTAGATGTTTCGCTCCAGAGACTTTGAAAATACAATTCCTCTGTCGTCGGAAACATAGATGGTTCCAACACCAGAGTCTGTGACACACACACATTGAGACATTTGTGTATCTAGGCAGACATCATTAATACAAGAACACCATCACTCTCAGATCTGACCTCCAGGGTCGTCCACGTGAATGAAGATCAAGTCCTGGTCGGCTTCCAGGACTGAGTAGAACTGCTCTGGGTCAATGATGGGAAGCTGAGCCATGTTCCACACTTCACCTCCATCCACTGACACGTGGATAACCCGCTGTGTTCCCTAAAAAAGTTGCATGTACAGTGAGTTCAGTAGATTTTTCTTCTAATTTGAGTTTTACACACACAGGATAGAAAGCGTCTCATGTTGCACTGCCCTTATCTCCACCTACAGGAAAACTTGGGCAGTGCAAGATAATATTGTTTGTTTTTTTGTTTTTTTGCAATTCACAGGATTTCTTTAATGAAATCCAAATTTTAATAAATGCAGGTACAGTTATGAAGATCATTAAATGAATGGTCCTGATGAAGCCGTACCTTTCCAGTCATGATGGAAGCAATAAGAAATTTCCCTCCCAGTATAAAGGAATAAACCCTTGTTGCAATGGTCTTAAAAGTTTGACCGTAGTCGGTCGTCTTTCTCAGCGCCAACATTCCTTTGTCATCTGACAGAAAGAGGAGAGAATTAGACACTGGATGAATTTTCAAACTATATAGCTTCATGTCGACAACACCGTTCTCACTTACTGCATGATCCATTGTAGTTTGTTGTAATATAGATGCTGTTCTTTGGACCCCTGTGTGTGTACAAGGACATACAGTGAAGAGGGAACATGGTGTTTCACATGGAACTGCTCATATTTTACACTGAAACGCATTTTGGGCTAAAATGTGTGTTTGGAATTTGTAGCAATCACAGATTAGAGCTGCGGTTTCTTCTAAGTGCTGTAATAGCAAAGCTAACATCGACTCCCAGGCTGCGCTCCAAGTCCTTTATGGCTTTGTTTGCTGCCAAAGGGGGCAAAAGGTTTTTGGTTCCAGGACTGTGGGCTGAATAAGAATGCTGCCGTCGCTGCTGCTGACTCATGATCTGCTCTGACAGCAGCCTCCGCTCCCTCACTGTGCACTCAATTCAGGCTCTGCACTAAAGGGACAGCTGTGGTCACCCGGAGCTATCGCGCAGTTCCCACAATGCACCGCAAGCTACCGCAGGCTGACATTACAACCTCATACCAACCCTGACGCTCAAATGAAACCAGACTCGGGAGAACAATCCAAAATCTCATGAGAAAGAGATGTGGAAAACAACAACAGTGACAATAAACATACAAGAAAAGCAACACTTCACATCTTGGCAGCGTGCAAAGATTATGATGTTCCTCTCTGGCATGTTTGTGTTTACTCTAAACTAACTGGAGGGAATTTACTATTAAAAAAAACAAACCCTAAACATAATGAGGTAAAGCAGCAGGTGTGAAATTTGTTCTTTTGCATTTTTTATTTTAAGCCATAGCACAAGTAGGTTTTTAAAAAGACACCGTACATTTAATTAACCATATAAACTGAATTACTGTATTATTCGGTATTATTTATAAAGATGTTTTTCCAACTGCAGCCTTTCTTTGTCACGGATTTTTCAAAGGAGGACCAACATGACAGACTTGAGAAACACATTCACTGGGGATTTTTGTAGCTTCCACTGATTAGCAGTCAGAACATTTAACTGTCAATTTCCATTTTTATATTTTATGGGAATATTTCTAAATAAGTCTTTCAAATATGTAATATAATATACATCTTCTCAATACAGCTCTACATCTCATAATTTTTTGTACTCAAATAATTATTTTTACAGAAAATAGATTGAATTCTCACCATCTGACCATACACGCACTGTCATGGATCTTCCTCCAAGTGGCGCCAAAGTCCTCAGATAGCCACAGGTCCGACTGAAAGTAAAACTTGAGGTTTAAGTTACAGTATGTGAGCAAACTGCTGCCATTTAAGATACTACACACTAAATAAATAAAAAATTTAGAGAATGATAATTGCAACATACTGACACAGTGCCAAGTTAATCATTCGGTCAAATTTTCTTCTCTTTGACAATACTTTTGCCAGGTTGTAAATACTGAACCACAGCAGTAAGCATGTGTGTAACGTCATCAAGCAAATACGTCATTAAGCAAACATGTCTGTGGAATTGGTAAGTGAAATCGTTAAGCAAGCACACTGATGATTTCAAGGAACTGGACCACTGGGAACTCATTATCAACAAGAATCCGATCTCGATTCCAGTCTTCAGTTCCTGACATCACACGTGTTGCAGTAATCAATTTTAACACTGGTTTATATCTGTCAAATACATTTTTCAGCTGGTCAGCAGCTTTTTATTTATTTATTTATTATGCTATGATAGCTAGCATTTTACTTTTCAGGTTTGGACGGTCACATAAGGCTGGTACTACCGTGATGCTGAGTGACAGGAGGGTGTTACAGTCTCCAGGGTTGTACTGTATCTGGAAGAGGGGCTCAAACGGCAGATCAGTTGGAACAAACGTGAGGCCAAAGTCCTGTGAGCGAAACAGTCGAGCGCCACCAATCTCTGACACTTCACCGACCAGGATAACCTAAATCCAGTCAGGAAACAGTGCTGAGCAGTTCATCACTCTACAAAATATGTATGCAAAACATCACCTGGAAAAAAAAACAGTATTTTTTAAGGACCCTCATTCTTCCTACCTTCCCAGAGTTGTCCGGACTGCTGGCGATGCCAAACTCTGAATGGACGAAGGTGTGGTTGATGAGGTGACTCACATCCTTGAAGGTTTTGCCATAGTCTTCACTGACACAGACACAAGGTTACAGTGAGATATTGAGGATAAGGTTTAGTTGAAAAAAAAAAGACAAAAGTCATCATCTTGTACTACATCTCACCTTCTGTAGAGGTTTGACTGGCCGAAACGCATCATAAACAATGGCACCTGAAATGTGGTCAGAACCAGCAGCACCTGCGTGAGGAAAGAGGAGAGGTTACATACAATATGATTTTTTACCACACAAATATAATATAATAATTATCACAAATATAAACAAACTCACCCCTGATCCTTCTCCAACCCAGGACAGCCAGAGTGGACTCACAGAACCGAGTGTGAAAGTGAACTGATTGGGCAGAGAAATCAGATTAATGAAATGTTGCATAACCAACTATGTATCAAAGCATCAACTGAAAACAAAAACAACATTGTTTTCTCTCCATCCCTGTCCTTCAACCACACAATAGAAATGGCAGCCAAGAGAACAGAATTAATTTCCTCTACTATCCAGAGTAACTGGGCCGTTTGGATGCAGCCTGCGTGTTTGACCTACATTTACGCCTAAATGAAAAGCTGAGGCCAGGAAACAAGACCTTGACTGACGTCCGAAATATGGCCACACAGCCAAACACTAATCCAACATTTAAACACAACAACAGAAGACAGTGTGAGTCAAGAGTTTTGCTGACCACAAACAAACTTCTACGGTATTGATCCGAAAGGATTGGGAAAATATTGTCTTCATGGTCAAAGTAAAGTGTTATCTGTCTCTTCTTTAACTGTAGGGTTAAGGTGTTTACAAGGTGAGCCCAGTGCTGGCCAGTCTGCACACCGACCTATAAATCCACAGGAGAAGGGCTCCTGCTGGAACTCTCCTTCCAGTGGAAACTGACTTCTGCTGCCAAATCTGAGTGAGAACACAACTTTCTAGCCCTCCTTCATGTGAATCAACGCATCCCCAATCGCTTTACTGTTGCTCCATATCATTTTCTTCTTTTGTATTATTTGTGCGTTGTGTTCACACATTCCAGCACAGAACTGCTGGACACACTTGACTGCTGACTCACAGGTCTGGATGCACAAACAAGTTTTTTAAACTATTATTTAGTGAATGGAAACAACAAAACCAGAATTCCTGATAGTTTTTCATCACCTGCATATTAATTGCAATTATTTTTTGTGGAAAAAAACCCCCAAACAAAACACCAAATTATTAAATATTAACAGTATTTAGGTCCACATACAGTTCTTTTTTTATTAAAGTCAAGTCACTACTATAAACACTAAAATCCATTGAAGCTTTTGCTCTACCTTAAAACTCACTAGGCAAGAATTTGTTTTAGATTCATTAGGTACAACTATCAGTCCACTCCATGGCTAGGCTACATATGTCTAAACCTGTTAGCACCGTCTGTCTGACTCCTTTTTTCTTTGGGTATTAGCAGCAGCTCTGAGTCCTTACTGCCAACTTCTGGATCTATTTCAAATTGCAAAACATTTACCCTCAGAACACTACAACTAAAAAGGCAAAAGTGAAATACAAGAAATTATAGAGAGAGTAGCATAGTTGAAAATGAAAACATTATTTTCAGTCATGCTGCAAAATTCATCATAAAAATCTCTTAATCTATACAGAATTATAAATTAAAAATAAACCTAAATGAAATACATAAATGCACAATGTAACTAAATCATTTACACTAGACCCCGTTTAAATATTAAGAATCTTTGCCAAACAAACCACCGTTTTTGAAGCCTTCAAGTGTTTAGTTTTACCTGAGCCATGTTAAATTCTGGAACCGTGTTTCAGTCCACAGATGTTGAAACTGTCCCAAAAGTATTTTAAAAAATTTCACACAGATTCCTTTTTACAATAAGAGTAATAGTTTCAGCTAAAGTTGAACATATACTTCTAGAGAAATACGCCAAATGCTGATATTTTCTTTACCTCAGTTTACTATTCAATCTCTTTTTCTTTATTTCAGTTCTTGATTTCATTGAATGCTTTTCTCTGTGCACCAACAAACTTTTACTTTCCACAACTCTCTCTCGTGTCCAGCATCAACTGTGCTGCTTTGTTGGTGCTGCAACAGTTGGCTGCAGCCCAGTTCCTCTACTCCTCCTCCTCCTCCTCCTCGTCCTCTCAAAGGTTTTTTCTCTATGTTTTTGGCAACAGTGAATAAAGGATGGGAGGGGAAATGAGGGTGAGGGGGTGTATAAAGTCAGTTAGTGTACACACAAAACTCAAACAAAAATACAAACACGGCCAAAGCCTGGCTGTCTAATACCATGCTTCCTGTGCAGTCTATATTGGACATAAAATGGAACAAAAAGGAGGGGTTTTTGGCTGGCTATATCTAAGAGCTACTCATCTACAAACTTAAAAGACCTTGTCCAATTGTTTGATTGCAGACAATTCAGACCGCAGTCCACACAAAGGCTGAAATAAAGTACAACGAGACCTTAAAAGCAGGGGGTCCAGGGGTGTGAGGAAGAAAGGAAAAGAGGGGAACCAGCATGCCAAATTTTTTCATGCTCAAAAGCTAGGCCAGGTGTCTGAACCACAGAAATGATGTAACGGAAGACGGTCCTGTGGAGCTTTGCAGCTCTGGACCGGGTTGTTATGCTTGAACATTCCTCTGGACATTAGAGCAGTACTTGTTGTGCTTCCTATGACAACATGTTGTCTAAAGTCTAAACTAACAGCAGGTAATGTTAGATCCATTGTGTGGGGAAAGCCAAAACTTTTTTATGAATGTCCCCGACATGACTTTCTTTATTTTTTAAAAGGTTAAAGGTTTAAATGTCTTAAAGGCAGCTTTACATGCTTTGTAATAAACTACTGGATATGGCATCATTTATTGAAACTAAACTAAAACCAAAAATGATGTTACATCTTTATTGTAATTTGTTTTTTGTTTTTTGTTTTTAATTTTTCAGAAAAAAACCTGTATACATTTTATTGTAATCAATCAGTTAGAGCAGGTTTTCTTTCAAATATGAACTCTGTTTAATATATATAACACTGTTTATTGCACTTGAAGTGCAGGTATTGTTGAGGTCTTCTTTCTGTCTTCACAAGTAAATAGAAATACAGTTGTTCCTCAAAAAGTTGAGCATGTTGTCCTTTTGACATCTCTATAGCACAAACCTTTATACGGAAAATGGAGCTAAGCTATTTCTTGTCAACTCACAAAGTTTTACTTTTTAAACTAAATACTGTACCTACTTACCACAAGACCACCTACAGATACCTATAAGACCAATCCAAAAGCTTGAAATAAACACTAATGTTGCAGCGACACCTCTGAAATAAGAGAGAAAAACATAATTTGATAACTTAGCATTAATATGATAGCATCCCAGTAATCAGAACCTTATCGTTAGTAATATGTCAAGGACATTTGTGATTTATTTTAATATCTCACTCTTTGCGTATGAAGTAGTGCATCATTAATCCAAAGTTTTGGAATGTTATTGATGTAGAACAGCTGAAGTTTACAGTGAGGCGCCACAGTATCCTAGATACCACGTTAGAGGACCTTGAGAGGCTCCAGTCAATCTGACTAGACTGATGTAGAGTCTGTTCTTTTCCAACATGGCATAAAGCTAGTGTTGTCTGCATTTTAGATGTACCAGGGAAATTCTTTTTCAATGGTGTAGTTAACCTACATGTTTAGGTAAGAACATCTGGGATTCATTCATCTTTACATTCAGATTACTGTAGGAATATCAAGAGGTCCTGCAATTTAAATTAAAAGTTTGTAGTTAAAACAAGTCACAGTCAGTGACCTGAAGACAAACTAGAGCTAACCTTGACCTGTCAGAAATTTGCAAATTCCGCACACATCACATCCCCTCGAAAATGAGATATTCAGGGTAAACAAATACAGTTGATGGGCGTAGTAAGAAGTGTGAGAACTTTCAATCAAATTGAACACCATCTCCAGGATATTTTGAAAAGTGGTCACACAACACACAATGAAAAGTGTGTAAGATTGTATAGAAATAATTTGAGTGTCTGATAATGTCAACAACAATGTATACTGCAATAATAAAATTGATCTGGCATACCAGAAGAATCATTGAATAAACAACAATCTATTCAATTTTACAACAAACTTACTATTCAACAGAAATGTTGATATGTTGATGTTGACATTTTTTTTTATTACGTTACATTAAGAACAAAACTAACTCAACAGCATTTGTCATATTAAAGTCACAAGAAATGTAGCCATAATATACTTATTTAAAAGCCTTACTTTAAACTAGCAAAAACCCTAAAATTTTAAAATATGAAAAAAAAAATACCAATGATTTCCGTACCACTAAAGTTCGCAAACCCCTTCTGGGAAAGGCGACTGTTAACTCTAAAGTATGAACGGTTGAGCATTAAGTTCTCCCATTGTGGATTCTGAGAAAAAAACAAGATGACCTACTTAAGACTGAAGGACGAATAGTCTGGTGCTAAGGGTCGAAGTGACTGTTAGACTATGTTTGCTTTTTTATAAAAAACAAGTGAATGAGTCACTTACACTGTGAGTGTTGCTCCGCAGGTTCGATTCTGCTCCGGGTGGAGCGGTACACGTCTGTTCATTCACTCCCGTACTGCGTTTCAACGGCTCGGACCTCCGTGGTTCCACCAGGTTCCGCTGGATACTCCCGGGTATCCCAGCCGGTGGGAGACCACTGCCCGTAGCAGTAGACGACAGCAACCCGAGCGCCAAAAAGCAGGACACGGAGATCATGCTTGCAAAAAAAATGCCCAACTTTAGTTTGACGACTAACCCAAGTGAACTAAAACTTGGCTCCACATGCCCCCCTCCCGACAACGAATGCATCTTCAATAACGGCCCATTCACCGCAGAAGGGGATTGGTCAGGACAAGAATAACCGACCGTCTCATTGGTCAGCAGTCATCCTCACACACTGAGATGTCAAAAAATGTGTCGTATTACACTGCCATCTGGTGGAAAGACTGTGAGAAGCATAATCTCGGCAATCTATATGAATAAAGAAGGCGCTATTTAGAATCAAATTTATTTCTTTGTTTTTTCTTACATTTGTTACTTGATTTGTCAACAAGGAAACCAGCACAAGCCCCCAGTACTGTTTCATATCCTCGGAAAAATTACACTGTGAACGGTTCAAACTATACGACACCGTAAACAGTGATTAACATTAGAGTGGGAGCAGATGTTTGTACTTTTTTTTATTACACACGGGAAGCAGGTGAGTTTTGGTTATCACCATTCTTGTAACAAATCTATCCATTAGATATGGATCAACTATCAATTCAGAATTTTTTATTGGCAATTATTAGGAAAAATCTAATAATATATTACACTTTAGTAAGAAGCGAGTGCTACAGGTAAAAATGAAAGTTATTTCAAAGGCCAACCATCTATTTGTCAACTTTTCACAGGTGAAAAACTGTGAAAATGAACTGAAGAAAATGAATAATCACGACCACAAAAGAATATTTCTGAATACAACAGTTTAATTTCAGAATTGATTTGTACAAAAGGTTTTCCCGCCCCTATCCCTAACCCGGAAATATTTGTTTGTGTGTTTTTATGTCCTGCCCCTTTCTGTCCAGAAGTCAAACCACAAATTACAGGTGTTTTTCTAGATATCCTTGATGACATCTTCCAGCTCCTCCTTGGAGTACATGTGGAAAGTCTTCCCCGGCTCCACCGTTGCCAGCTGTAGAAGAGACGGTGAGTTGAAACCTCAAAACACATCAACTTTTTAAATATTAAATCATTTTTTGTTGCTAACAAATATGTCCTCTTTTTAATACAAATATCTCTTTCATCGTGATGGTGGAACACACCTCAATATTAGTGGCGTTGAGCTTCTCCTCCATCACCTGCTTCAGAATAGTGAGGGATGACTTGATTGCATCTTTTAATGTCATAGACTGTCAGTTCCCCAAAGAGAGAGAGAGAGAGAGAGAGAGAGAGAGAGAGAGAGAGAGGAAGCGAGAGACAGACAGCGAGAGAGAGAAACAGAGACACTTAATGCATTTACCTTAATGCACTCCTTTTAATGTAATGTCCCTAAATGCAGTTTACATGTCAAAGTGTTCGGATAAGTCAAACCGTACCTTGTGGTAGACTTCTTGCAGAGAACTCTGTGCTCCCTCAGATGCTGAACCAATGGCACGAGCATCACACTCTACAAAGGTTCCTGACGGGTCCATATGGTACCTACACATACAAACAAGGACAATGATGTCCTAGTAGCTTCACCTAATACTATAGGCATCTGCTAAATGAGATAAGATTTGTGATCTGAACTTACAGCTGTGGTCCTTTTTCATCCACTCCCCCAAACAGAAGTGCTACACCGAATGGTCGACTCTATATGAAAAAACAAACAAAACAAACACAAAAAAAACAGCTTAGGTATATGTGAAGTAAAACTAGTTAACTGATATGTGGATTAGGGCGTTACAACTTTATTTGGTTTAATTATCTGTTTTTTTATTATATAAAGATAAGCTGACAGACTGACCATGGCACCAGGATCAGCATCCTCCTCTCCAAACTGCAGGGCCAGGTTGGACACCGCCTGTGTTATACTCTCCACTGTCATTTTCTCATTGTAAACAAACCAGTGGTTCTGAGGACAAATGTGGATGTGAGTTATTTTCAGGTCAAACACAAACACAAGCAGTATGTGTCATTGCTTAGACTTTAAGATTTATACCAGTGTTTCCACTCTGGCTTTGTCGATGAGAGTCCTTGCATCAGCTATCAAGCCACTCATGGCACATCCTTTAAAATAAAACACAGAAAATTGCATTAATTAAATAGACTGCAGATGTTTAACTATTAAAAATCAGTGTCAACAAAGATATATGTGAAAAATCTAACACAATTGTGATTTAAATACAATTATAAAAATGTATATTGAAACTTCATATGTAGTTTATTAAAGTTTTCAGTTATTTTCTATAATTTGGGCTAATAATAAAAATAGATGATTTAGAGGATGTTTCTAGTCTGTTGTCTTTTCCATTCAACAGAATACGGAAGAAAACTATGCTCTCACATGTACAGATGACAGTTTCCAGCTATGGAATGTTGCAAATTAAGAGTTGTAAGTTGTTGTTTCCAATTACCGATGTGACTGTCAATTTCCACTATCTTCTCAATGCTGTTGGGCTCCATCAGGGGAGAGGTGATCCTCTTCTCCACAGCCAGACACACTCCCTCTGATGTCCGAATGCCAATGGCTGTAGAGCCCAACTGGAAGTACAAAACAGGGTCAACTCAAGGAACAGAATATAAAATTTAAAGTACTGTTCTGTCACCCACCATTACAAATGTACTCACCTTTATGGCCTCAATAGCATATTCAACCTGGAACAATCTTCCTTCAGGAGAGAATGTGTTTACACCTCTGCAAAACAGGATTAGCAACAAAATAAAAATTTAAAAGTAACAAGAAACTGTACTTTGGTATTATAAATGTAGCATAACATGTTTAGGGGGTGGAATTTTTTGGATTGAGTATTAGAAATGCATACATTCATGTGCAATGGTAAAAAGAAATCTATCTATTATTTTATTAATTTAGTCTTGTTATCATCATGTTGTGTTGTCTTCTCGTTTATCTGGGTTACCTTTCACTTAATTCATCAAAATAACCCATAATGTTCTGCTTTATAAAATTGACTACGTACACAAATACGATGTGCTGAGACAACTTTCATCAAATAAATAGGTATAGCGAAAGTGAAAGCAAACTAGCAAACTCTCTATATAAGTTTAACTATAAAAACTCTTTCTAAAACGGCTTTTACTACGGCTTTTACTAACAGATTAAGTTGAAAACTCCATTACAAAACATCTTAACACGACATCGCCCTTTGTAACAGACAAGCGCTCAATTAATGACAAAGCAAATCTTACCTGTCATATTCCGATCTTGTCAAAAACATCGTTGAACGTTTGGTATAGGACCTGCAGAAGGATGGTGTTTTTATTGTTAGATGCGTAAAATATCAAAACGTTTAGAGGCGGAAAACTTCTTGTTTCTATTGCGTTGTATGCCAGATTAGCTTTCTTGTGTTAGCTCTAAAGACGAGGAAGCGTGTCAGCTAACTGACAAGGATCTTAAGCCAGTCACACGAAAAAGTCAAAATACAGTTTTTAGATAGTATTATTATTTAAACGAGTGTGCTAAAGATATTTGGATGTCCTTGTAGATTATTGTAACACATTTACAAGTATACCTTCAGCTTCAGTCCCTTGAATGAGTTCGCTTGTTTCAGGGGAAACGACGAAAGATCCTGTGCAACATAAAAATGTGCCAACTGAAAACCAGTAGCAAGTAAGGTTCCGCTACTCTCTTTTAAAACTGCTAAGCTTACCAGTTATAATAGTTATAGAAATCAATGAGTGGGATCACTCACGCAGATAAATGTACAAGTCTACAAACATTAATTATTTACATCTTTTAACTCAGCCTTCAAATGAATGTTAATGTATCTTTAAATGATAGACAATGGTTACATTTTTCATTATTCAGTATTGTGGACCTTAGACTAATTTTAAAATAATCTTAATTTATGTTAATGCGTATACACTTGTATACTTTGCTCATACGTTTACCTAATTACCTCCATATTAATACTAAATAAAACTTGCCAGACATATAATATACACATCACAAGTGAAATCACCAAATACGTACTTCTACGTATGATGCGGCACATACTTACAAGTTCCCATATGGTCTAGCGGTTAGGATTCCTGGTTTTCACCCAGGCGGCCCGGGTTCGACTCCCGGTATGGGAATGACACATTTTCGTGTTGGTCATAACGTTCTTCTGCGGCTATAATTGAAGTAGTATCTGTGCTGCAATTGTCAAATAATTTATAACGACAGCGATGGATTTCACCCTTTACACAACTTTGATTATCCAAACCCCATTTATAATCACACAAACAAACACACGAAAACGCTTTGTCTGTTATGTGTTTTGTGTCATTTCAATTCAAGACAAACATCTTCAGCTTGAGCTCGCCATTTTTTTTCGCCTTCACTTATAAACCACAAGGTAGCAGTCTTGAGCTGTGATGTCAATTCAACAACAACAGCAAAATGCCTTACAGTGTGAATGTACTCATTCCTTGGTGACAGTTTTACTGATCTTGATCCCAGGATAAAGACGGATATGTGTGTCTTACAGAGTGCAGCTGTTTTCAGAGAGTCACTGAGTTCAGTGGAGGGACAGACCAGCCAAGTTATCCAGGAGGACAATACAACAATTAGACACACTACTCCCTCATCAGACTATCACATGGTTGCAGTAGCTCACACCTCAAAACAACACTCAAAACCTTATGTCATTTATGGACGTTTAGGAAGACTTTTTTTAACTTTCATACTTCTGCTAAATAAATTTAGCACTACCATATACTGTACCATAAAATTTAATCAATTTATTAGCGTGACAAAAGCTGGACTATCAAATTGCCTAAATACTTAGCTGTAATAGTAATCAGAACATTTATCAAAATCAAATTTTACACAAACATTTGAAAATTTAATTCTTCTCTGAATCTCTGGAGATCTAAATCTCCAGCATTACCCTGGGCTCAGACCTCCTACGTAACAGAGGTGGTATCATATGTACAGTAGTAGTATGATATCGCTAACATGGCCCTAAGTAAGGGTAGGGGTCAAGGTAAGGGTTAGGATTTATACATTAAACAAAAAAATGCTAATTGGTCAGCAATGAAACTTCAATTTGCTCCATAATGGACAGATGTTCTTTCATATTTCAACAACTTTTTTGCTTTTGATATTTTAGCACTTTTAGATTAATGCTTACCAAAGTAGAGGAACCATGCACCCCCAGTAAAAAAAAAGCCAGTATAATATGTTTTGCCTGTGTGACACACGGCCTGTGGGGTCTTGTGTGTCGGCCAGATGTTTGAGACCCCTGCTATAATACAGCTACATTGTGTTTTTAACAAAGGATCAACTGCTTAAACAGAAACTACAGAGCTTTAAGCCATGTTGCAAGTAACAACAACATTTTCAATAATCATGAAACCCGCCCCCCAACTGCTCCAGTTTTGGGTTAGTAACCTCAATGCAAAATTCATAATCCCATCGACCCACGTCTATTAAAGGCTTTAATAACCCATTGAATCGTCCTCACAGGTGAGTGGAGGTTGAAAAGATAGCTGCTGCAGCCCTAAAGGGTGGGGCATATCTCCGAGGGCTTTTGTTGTTAATAGTCCTACACTGAAGGGCAGGTGGGTTTTGTGTTGATACACCGCCAATACATGCTCAATGATGCTCATCCACTATTTGCACATGCCATATTGAGCCTTTTTGTTTTTTAAATGTCAGCCAGACTGCTTTGATAACCCAGGTGGTGTGTTCTAGAAACATTTAAACTCGGCACATTACTGTTAAATTAACCTGCATGGTGAGCAACTTCACTTCACGACTCGTAAAAAAGATTTGTAGCATTTGCCATAGCATCGCCCCTGTCACGACTCGTAAAAAAAGATTTGTAGCATTTGCCATAGCTGGGCCTCGGGCAGAAAACCTATATGAGTGGAGGATAAAAACACAAGTCTAAAAGAAGACACATTTATAGTAAATCATGCTGCTGTCATGTGGGTAGGCTGTGTGATTCACATACACATTTATCTCAGCTGTCATCACCCCTGAAATTCAGTGAGGAATATTTGTCCATCAGCTCTTTGTGTAGCTGTTGTTGTTGTTTTTTCTATATCTCTGGGCCTCCACCCCTACTCCACCTACAGCCCTGCGTTCCAATGCTGGAACATCAGCATGGTCACAGAGATGCTGACACACACACACACATATTTGAGGAGACATTATATAAATCTGTCCATCCATTGTCCAAATGCTGTGTGAGCTTTGATGAAGGATTGACACAGCATCTGTGACACAGGCAGAGGTTGAGACAGCTGCTCGGCCTCGCTGGTCCACTGACAGACGCCTCTGTGCAGCCAGGCCACGCCTCAGCTCCTCTGCTGCACAGAGAATTATTGTCCTCAGTGTTGCTACTACTCTGGTGATGTCATGACTTGTCCTTTCCCCAGGGTGCTGTTGTCTCTGTAAGACTGGATAGACACTGTCGAAAGAAGTCATAACCACAAAAACTACATGGACTGATGACGTGATGCCACCATATTACTGTACGTACTGCGTACCCAAAAGCCTCCTGCACATTGGCCTCTGTCCTGAACTCTCCTTTCCTGTTTTGAATCATATTTGGCTCTCATTTGCATGGCAGTTGATGTTTTTTTTTTTGCAACTGCTGCTGCATCGCGCAGCTGATATTCAAATAGTACCTTTTGCTTTATTAACTCCACCTGTCTGTGGTGTCACTTCCTCTGTGCTCTTCTCAGCACATGGTGATTGTGGACTGAGCTGGGATAAGACAAGCAACAACAGCTAGTGTTTAACAGGACCTTACAGGCAGGTGGAACAGTCACAGTCAAACCCAGTGTCATACATTTGGATGTATTTAAAGCTAAATGTCTTATATATTTCAGTCATGTGAAATGTGAAATAAGACAACTGTTGTCTACCAAATCTGGAATAAATAGTTCAGACTGACTGACTCAGAATCTCTGTATTGTAGATCTGCTAAGAAACTGGACCAAAGAAACATTTCACATTTAAATATAGGACAGTTTTAAAATTTTCCTTTTATTAGATTTATTTTGATGCTAATTATAATTCTGAAAAAATGTCAAAATAACTTTCCTGGTTGTTTTATTTTAGTGATCCAGTTCATCGTTTCCCAGAGACTGGTTCGCAACCCTCAGGTGGGTCGCAAGAGATTTTTTTGGGTTGTCTCGCATCATGTTTCCCAGGAGTTTACGAATAATGTCTGTTGACTTAGGTCGTGAAGTTTGGTGACATTTAAAATATTGGTCCCCAGAAAAAACGTTTGGGAAACATTGATCCAGTTACTTTGTCCTATTGACATTTTTGAACAAATATCAATGTTCACCGTGTTCATCAAAAGAACCATGATGCTGGCTCATTTCCAGTCATCTAATTTATTGTAAACATGTTGAGGTTGTTTATGGTTTCATTAATCTTTTCTTTGAAAGTGATCTGTGTCCCATCTCCGGCCAACTCCCAACCCTCTCTCTTTTGTTTTTCTTCTGCTTTAGCAGCAGATTCTCTTGGGTGCTGACACAGTGCCATTAGTGTTTGACTACACATTATTAGAATCACCAGGCAATAAGATAAGAGACGCCGAGCGTAAGGGAATGCCATTTTTGGAGTGCCGAGTGTCAATGGCTGTAAATGTTGGACAACAGGGGGCAAAGGTGTTGAAACAAATGATTTGTTTTGCAGATAAGACCTTCATAAGAGCTCAGGTATGCTAAAGGACTATATACATATACACATACATATACACATACATATAATGGGGATATATATATGAGAGGCCTATGTTTGGGCATAGAGCTATAGAAAAAAGCAGATGATGCCACTTAAGCTGTAGAAAAGGTGGAAAGGCAAAATTCATTCGAGTGGATGAATAACATGGACCTTTTTTTGGGTCTTCCACTGAAGTGATGGAGAAGAAAGACCCTGTGGAGCACAGGAAAACCAATGAAAACTCCTTCTCTCACCACCCACCTTCTCTCTTCTCCATCATCCTCCCTCTGTCCTCTCCCCATCCATTGTTTTACTCTTCTCTGTTATTATCAGCCAGATCTTTATCGACTCACCCCTTCCTTGCTGTGATAGAGCGCAAGGCCATCCTCCCACATGGTTTTAGTGAGAGATTTCTAACAGCGGCAGCAGCAGCAGGACCAGAGGGAAGAAAAGGGAGAGAAAGAGGCCCAATAAAGTGGGTCTAAATATAGAGGCAGCAGGGCCTTTTTTCTCTTGTCCTTATAAAGAGCTGCTGGTGAATCCTGGTGGACTCGCCTCCTGAGCTCGGATCACTCCCTCCAGGATCAGTAACATGAGTACTGGTGCATGGAAACACACAAACACAGAGGGTCACTTTATTTTATGGGAGAGCGGACAGACCTTAGAGAGTTCTTTTTTTTTTAATGGGGGGACTAATCACATCAAGTGGAACATACTAAAATAGGAAAGGTTTGAGGAAACCTCCACAAACCAATGATGGGAGATATGAATGGTGGGGGAGTTTCCGTGGCTGATGTGCTCTAGAAGATGAAACAGAGAAAGAGATGAATATATGGTCAGAAATATCTGAGACGGTGGAATCAAATCTGTGCAATCATCACCGTCCATTCTGATGCCTCCTTTTGGCTCACACCTGGTTGGATAGTTCCAGTTATGTCACATTTATAACTGTCCTGTTTCTTCTGCAGACTGGTTCCCAACACTTTTATTTTTACTTTTTCCTTGAAATCTTTTAGGCTACATTGTGAGGTTTGTGGACTTTTGCTGTCTTGGTGTTGTTCCTCTCTTTGCTAGAAACACAAAATGTGACATAATAGTATTTTATTATCCCAACAAGTAAAAAAAGAAATGAAATTTGACATTTATTCCCAAACTTTACTTCTTAAAAAAGCCCCCCCCATTCTAGTCTGACTGTTGAACATTGTGTACGGTGACCTTGAGTGTCCAGAAAGGCGCCTATAAATAAAATTTATTATTATTATTATTATTATTAAATCTGATTGCAGATTTAAATTAATATTAGTTTCATGGTTAAAATTTTAAAAAACATTTAATAAAAATATTGTTATTATTATTGCTAATAATACTAATACTAATAATAAAACAAAGTCAAGTGGAAACCACATCAGGATCTTTTAAAAAGAACAGGAAAATGCACTTTGAATAAAGCCTCAGTGTCATGCTCCAAATAACAAAAATAACCATGGTGTTTTCTCTTGTGTAAATAGTTGTGCAGTTGCTCACAGCAGTGACAGCAAAGACAAATTCACAAAAAACAACCATCCCTTTGAAAGCTAACAGGAACGTAAAAAAGAGTGACTAATTCAGGATCACCACAATACTGTGAATTTGACAAAGATAAAGACGCTGCATTAGCGTTGTTAAATTAAATTGAGGAACAACATAAATGATCAATATTGACAGATGTTATTTCATGTCATCTGCTGAGGTGTCCTACACACTGCTGCTGTCAGTCCGCAGTCTGGTTATCACAGGTGTGTGAGTTGAACAGCTGCGTCCCACCAGCTGCCTTTCATTAAATAACAGTCGGAGCGCTACGCAGGTCATGTGCCGTTTGACACTGACAACAGATGTGTTCCAAGAGGGAATTCAGAAGCAGGTCACTGATACTTGGCTTTTTTCACGCAGTGACACAGTTAAATTGGATCTTTCACACATGAGTGTTCAGCTGTCAAGATATGCCAGAGGTGACAGCAAAGGTTCTGGAGTCAGGCAGAAGAAGAAAAAAACATTCAGTGTTTGTTGAAACAATGACTTACACCTGTTGCTTACTGTTCCCCGCGGTGTGTTGTGGGTGGCAACACACAGTGGCGTGTGTATATACTCACACTCACACTCACACACACAAGGTGATCTTATCGAAGGTGGTGAAGCTGATAAAATGGTCCTGAGAGAATTAGAAAAAAAAGATGACATATCATAGCACACAGAGTCAATGTCAGTGTTTGAAGATGGGGGGGGGGGTGTTATCAGTGACGATACCTTATCCAGATACTCTTACATGTACTCTAAAACATGTTAGCTAGTCCAGCTGTGTGTTAGTCGTAGTCTCTGTGGACTCTGTGCTGTGATGCATCTTTAGATGTTTCATTAAAAGCTGCTATTAAAGGATGACGCCTCTCTCCCGCCCCTCCGCATCTTTACGGAGCAAATCTTTTCACTACGACCAGCTGTTCACTGGTCAGAGGGTTATTTAGTTTTCAAATGCAGTTCAGTGTGTCAATGGCTTCATGGGTAGTTTATTTTAAGTAGGTCAACAATGTCAGCAGTTTGTTTTCAACATCAGGGGAGCAAGACTTCCTTTCAGATTTGTTCTAGTATGAGAACTATAATAAAACACCAGAAGGTGCGCTGTAACGCTGTAATGCACGGAAACAACGGCACAGTGGATAAATGAGGTGCCTGTATCTCACTTTTTTTTGAGTTATTTGTACATGTGTATGTAAAATGTGTTTTCCTGCAACATGCAAATAGGGTTGCAGACTTGACACTTTGTTCACTGGAAAGGAGGGGAAATATCTTTCTCAATTGAAATGCCCCAGTGATATAAAGCTTTGCTCACTTTCTGTTCAGTTGACTTTGGTAACTATACAAAAGGTTTCTTAAGAAATGGAATATGATGGATGAAGACTAACTGCAGTTGTCTCTGTCAGAAGCTCCGATCTTCTAGACATCACTCACCCCTCACTGCCCCTTTTCTCTCCCTCTCACGTTTTCTGCCACCACCCCAACCAACAGATCTTCGCTGTGTTTGAGTTTGAAGTGGAAACAACAACTACTCGGTGGAAAGTATGTTGGTCAGAGATAAGACTATACGACAACAGGAGCGCGCATGCGTGCACACAAAACTCAAAGTCTGGTGGTTGAAGGTCAGGGCTTTTATTTTGTGGTGTAACGGTTGAAGCCGCTCATGACGTTCACATCTTAAACACGTCTTTGACCTCACCAGACCATTTACAACTTCTCATTTCTCCACCTCCTTATTTCTCTTCCACTGCTTTGTCGCACCTCGTGCAGGATGTTAGCACACGCTACATCAGCTGCTTACTTGAACAATGACTGCAGGAAAGTTTTCTTTTCCAAAACGACTGCTTCCTCATTCGGTGGGGCGTGGGGGAGTGGGGAGATGGGGGTGAAGTGGGTGGGTTGGTGTCTGTTTTAACCCTGAATGTCAACACTTCCAGACAAGGGTGGTGTGAAATGGTCACAGGGGAGGATGCGAGACTGGAAGTGTCTGTGGTGCCTCAACCGTTGGGAGGTGTTGGGGGTGGGGGTGTGGTATGGGTTATCAGAAATAGGAGATTGGGGGAGGGGGAGCAGAGGGGGTGACTGAGCAAGTGATTACAGCACAGCCAGAACGAACCTCCCCAGGCTCCGCATGAGACAAGTAAGATTATATTACAGAGGAAGAGCCCGTGGTTACGGCCAGAACTGTGCTTTAAAAACAGCATTTTTAAACAAAAGTTAGGGTCATTTCAAATGCTTCAACTCCAGGAACACACCCCCCTGTTTACTACATTCCTCATGCATGAATCTGAAAAAGAGCCTAAGAAATAAGAATCGCCACTTAATGCTCTGGTAAAAGAACATATTATTCTACTGTAATTTGTAGGAGAATTATACAATCAAAGCTTTAAGTCAACTAAAGATGGCAGAGACTTCTGGAACAGAATCTTAGGGCTTTAGATCAGTGTTTCCCAAACGTTTTTTCTGGGGACTCATATCTTAAAAGTCACAAACCTTTGCGACCCAAGTCAATAGACAGAAGCTGATGAATCTAATCAGGTGAAGAAATGCAGTACTTACAAGTATACGCTGTGGCAACCTCCAGGGATCAGGAAGTAATGAAACAGGAGTTACCTAAAAGTTTAGACAAAACTGAGAGTTTCCAACACAACCAACTGTTACCACGACTTTGGCAACAGCTCTGATGATGATCTTCTATTGTTCTTCATTACTGATTAGGGTAGTCCTCAGGTGCACTGGCCTTCAGGCCCAGAATCAGTGCAGCTGCACAAGATGAACACAGGGTCATGTCTGTGTTCACACACACGAACACACCAGCATGCTCAGAAAAAAAAATGTTAAAGACTGAACTTTTAGCCGTTTAAACATACAGTTTGAATGTTCTGTTTAAATATAGATTAATAATGAGCCGAGCAGAGACTTTAATGTCACCATCCTGGCCTGCTTGTTGTTATGGAGCTGGAAGCTGCTTTGGCAGTTGTATTCAAGAACCTGTCAGGACCACTTGATTCTTCCGTATTTAAATAAGCTGAGTTCAAATGGGGTTCCTCGCCTGTTAACTTTTTCAGATCCATATTCAGGATATCCTGTAGGCAGGGTTAGCATTTGCTCACTTTCCATTGTAACATTAGTCATTCATTTACTTCGAATGAAAAAGATTGGTCTTCTAAAATGACGGCCATTTTACTGCCGCCCCGGTTCATCTGATTATAAACAAAGTCATGTAACAACAGATAACAACCATTTCTGTTGAACACCATGGTTACCAGATTAGTGAACGCAAACACAGTGAAGTTGCATCTCTTCTACACAGAGCTTTGCTGTGAGTGGAAAGGTATATATGATTGGACACGGCGTATGTATGATTGACAGCCACACTGTCAAACAGGAGCCAGTCAACCGTAAACCTGGTCACGGTCACATTGGTGGTAAACATCAAAAAAACTGTGGGTCTCTTCTGTATTGGGGCTCACTTGAAACCCGATGGTCACGTCTGTTTCTTATATACAGTCTACGGTTAAAGGTCTCTGTGTTGTCCAGCTGAAAGGCCACTACAGCTGTTGTTTCTGGTTCAACACTGACTGTTTTCCGTCACCTTTCTGCCGACGTCATTTTTTCCCTGTTCTACCTTGGCAGCAACCATGACGTGTGACTCCTCGGTGCCATTAACTTTAATAAACATGGCCACATATTATCAGTACTACATGGTACTGTTCTTCCTCTGACTCATCTCATAATCACCAGCTACGGTGGAAGTGTCAGGCCTGGAAAGCACCAGCAGCATCAGGAGGAGCCGATAAGATGCAGACCTGCTGTTTTGATAAGCACTTGTTCCTGGCAGAGTCCAGAACACACCGTGAGGTCATAGTCATAGAACCCAAACACATTTGTCCTGTTGTTGTCATTTTGAACAATTACCGGAATCTGCATGTGTGACATTCGGCATTTCAGAAGTGGTATCCAGGGGAATGTGTTTTTAATCTCTACGGTTGAGTACAGATAGTATTTGAAGTGACGAACTGCTGTGAATCAAGGTGATCCAATATGGCAGCCTCTGTAGTGGAGCCCTGAGGCGAATGTCATAAATACTTTCAAATAAAAGTGTGCCGATGTGAACATTTAAAGTGTTATATTTCCTTGGTTCAGTGATCTCCATAGATCAACAATTAAATAAAATAAATAATAATATTAATTATAACAATAAAGTTGTTATTTCATTATTATTATTTTTGTTGTCGTAATTATAATTATTCACTTAATAATACATTATTAATAATTAAAAAATAATGATTAACAATTTTATTATTATTTAAAAAAATCTGTTTATAAATTACAGGACACCTATAATTTATTTACCACAGTCAGACCAGCCTTTGTTACACTAAGCCATATGAATTAAGGGACTGCATTCCTAACTGAACAACCACACACCTGATTATAAAAACAACCATCTCACGCACACACACACACACGTTTATATTGACAACAAAGGTATGTTCTTTTAAGGCAAACGTTGAGGGCCTAAACAGGCAGAGCGTGTTGGGTTTTAAAAAAAAGTTTCCTCGCTGCTGCTTTTAAAGACCTTAATCATAAAAATGACCACCTCTACCATAGGAAGAAAATAAATATTTTTGACCAAGATTCCAAGATGCCCTCTGCCCTAACATCTGCCCTGATGCTATTTTTATAGTCGTGCTCCTCGTGAATGAACCCCATGAATGAACCCCATGAGCTCCTAATGAACCCCACTCAGCCCTGTCACAGGTGCCTTTAACTCTGTGACCTGTGCTCGTTATCAGAGTAGATTATTAGCAAAGAAAAGACCCACATTAGTGATTGTGTTGTGAGGGGTCTCTGGGGTGTGGTCAACCCTGTTAAAAGCCTTTGGTAAATATAGCTTGAATCTTTCTCTATCTCAACACTGACGCAAACCAGGCTCAGATAAAGCCATGTAAGGCAGGAGGAGCCTGACGTGTCACAGGGACAGAGGAGGACGCAGACGCAGGACCGGTCCGGCAGTGCGCTGATCATTGATTTAATGAAGGAACATTTGCACTGAAACGTAGTGGCATGTGAAAGATGAAAGGGGAAATAACGAGCAATTACACAATTATGATTGGAATGATTCTCTACACAGCATTGACCTCCAGATGGGAAGATTTTCAGCACTCAATACTTTCAGATTAAATACCGCATCTGAGTCTTGTTTAGAGGAATATTCACCATGTTACTGATTAGCTAGATTCTCGGTTATGCCTCATTTTCTTGATAAATTAGAAGATAATTTTTGCTTCCCCTTATCATGAATCCTTCATCTGCAAGACCCTCATTTTCAGGAATGATATAAAACAGCTGGACAATGTGTTGGCAAGAGGATGATGATACGTATCATTTAACCATATAAAATCATTCGTATCATATTTGCCTAAGACCTCATTGCTGTGAGCAGTTTCAAGTTTCAAAAAATGCCTAATGTTTAAATCTTCATTTATGTTTAATAAATGCCTCAGTTCCATTTTTTTCACATCAGACTTTACAGGGTTCCCTAAGTCATTTTAAAATTAACTGGGGATTATATTATTCCATTTAATGGTTCAAGCTCTTGGGTATGAGTGTCCGACAGCAGCCAATCACACAGGTGTTCTGGTCAGGCTGTGGTAAAGTAGCACTCAGGTCTCATGCTGCTGAGCTGATTTTAGGGCACTTCTGAGGAATCCCATGACGTCACAGTTACACAACAGAGTGAGAACCGTGTGGAGGGTGAGACTTGACCGAACCTACTTGGTACGTGCATGTGAAAGTGCGAGGAGAGTGAGTGAGAAAGAGAGAGAGAGAGAGAAAGAGAGAGAGAGAGAGAGAGACCAGGGGCCTTCTTGACTCAGCACAATAAGGGTCAGGTGGACCTGACATGACACCGAGCTTCATGCCTGCCCCTCTTCAGTGACCTTCACAATGAGCATGTAAGGAGAAAAACATCGAGGAGTGACCGATGAAGTGATTCAACCGCGGGGAGGAGAAGCAACAGAATAAATGTTTGAGTGAGATCACAAAGAAAGCACGGTGAGAGACAAACTGTGAAAGACGTCGAGGGGGAAAGAACCGATGTGTTGTCGCACCAACAACAAGACACGCACGGCAACAGCGAAGCCATAAATTCTGCTGAATGCGAGCTGTTTCCAGGAAGGTGACACGATTCAGCCGTGAAAACGGCGACCTGTCCTATGTTTTGGCACCTTTAGTAGTCAGTACTAAAATTCCTGCATGGTTTCTATCAAGAAACACTGACAGATTCCTAAACACAAGTGGGACTCTGGAAAACAGAGGCCATATACAGCACAGTATTTCACACTATATATATATATATATATATATCTTTAACTGTATATTATAAAAATTAACAATAATTATTATTATTGTTATAAATGTATGACATTTTATTCATGCCCATGTTCCAGAACTCAGAACGTAGCACAGAAAAACTCTGTCACAGTGAAATAAAACCAGCTGCATTCAGTGTAAAAACACATTTTCTCCAAAAATGAAATGTATAGTTCAAAAGGTAAGGCTTGTGTGTGTGTGTAAGAATCATGTGAGGATATTATGGTGTTGAGTTGTTGTGTGCAGTCCAGACAGGTTTTCAATTGATAAATGTCTTACACTGTCACATTTCAAAGACAAGAACTAGAAAACAGTGACCAATCAACATTAAGCAATTTAAGTCCTTTTTGCAGTAGCTAACGAAAGAAAAAAAACTCCTCTTCAGTTTCTTGATGTTAAGGTAGTGTAGATAAAACACAGGGAGTGTGGAGTATCTCCTAGAGATACTCAAGACAGAACAGTTCTTCCAGGTAGTGGACCTAAAGGAGCTGTGGCCAGTGGTGGCTCCCAGAAACAGGGAGGTTCGGTCCCAGTGACTAAGTGCAATGTTCGAAAGTTGTAGCAGGTCGTGAATCACCAGTGACGATTCCCGAAAGGTGTTGGCAGTGGTCACTCAACAAGGTTCTGAGAACAAGGAGGTAAACACAACAAATACTAACATAATGCAGTGCCTAGCCAGATGTCTCTCCCTCTCTGTAGCACAAGACACTCTGGCACTAACTTCCTGTGGAGCTGCAGCTTATATATATCCTCCTCTGTTGATTGGAAGGAACCGCCTTCAGGTGTGCAGCTCATCAGCCCAGGAATCAGCACAGCTGTGAAAGAACACACACTTACACCAGCAACACCAGACACCAAAATGTACAAATACCTCACCGTACAAACTGCACTCCCCACGACCCAGAAAAAATTAGGTTTTAGAAGACGGGTGGATGTGACCTAGTGACAGTTTTTTATTTACAGCATGCTTCAACTGTTGAACTTGTGAATGTGGTTTGAACGAAACTGGTATTTGCTGAATTTGAAGTTTGACAATCTGAACTCAGTCATTAGAGGATTCAATTATTTGCCATACACATTTCAATGTATATGAGTGACTTCACCTTCCTGGGGCTAAACTTTCACAACTGAAAGGCTTCTAGTTAAAGACATGCTGAGCATTTAAATTGTATTTTCTCTTAGTGTACATAAATAACAACAATTTAAATTTAATTAACACAATAATTCTGGTAATTTTGACACCCTTATACACAACATATCATGTCATTTTGGAGGTTGTTGGCCTAATATACATTCAATTCCTTTGGATGCCTGGAAGGTTAAGGATTAATAAACTTTTGAGACACATTTGAAAAATAAATGATTAAATAAAACACTAGGAAAATACTAGAAAGATTAGGTTACAGATATGAACCCATTCCCACAATTAACCAAACTCCTTTTTACCAGGTCAGAGTGTAGGGTGTGTCTTATCTAATAGCAGCAAGACTTGAAAACAACTTGTCGTGGAGCTCAGTGATGTCATCTGAAAATAAATAATTAAATAAATAAACTAAGTGGCACACGCTTTGCTTTTCATTTGTCACTTGGCAAAATAATCCGTACAAAACAACCAGAATAAACACCATTAAAGAACAATCATCTGGGTCTTTTTTCCCCTTAGCCAAACAGACATATCTCTGGAGCAGGATCATGTTCTAAGTCACGACTGAGGGAATAAATTGTATTGCATGTGTTTTTGTTTCCAGCCTTGTCTGTGTTGTGTTCTCTGAGGCTGAGTGATTGTTAAAGGTGACACATCACTGGGAAACAGGACCTGGATAAGCTTGTTTAGCAAAGTGATTTTTCTTTTTCTTTTCTTTCTTTTTTTTTTTATATATTTGTTGGCCTGGTTAACAAGTGTTTAAAGCTCTTCAGAGTCTTCAGTGAGAGAGCACACACACACACATACACACACGTCTCAGCCAAGGGAACACCCAGCACCCCTGGCAGGTGGTGCTGTTGTGGCTTGATAAAAGTCTGGGCCCCTGCAGTGCAGGATCTAACATCACATGCTGCTTTGATAACAAGCACACACGCACATGAAGTGAACCAGCTCACCCCACAGGGTTTTCGACATCTACCATTCAATGTTGCTGCATGTTCTGTGACACAGCAATAGCAGAGACACGCACACACAAACACAAACTTGGCCGACAGCACTGTACACCGTGTGTACACAGAAACACCGTCAAGAAACAACTGTGACGGGGTTGGTTGTTTGTCACACCGCAGACAGACACCGTCACCAATGTCATAAAACTTTAAATGTGTTTTGTAGAGGAGTCTTTGACACTGCTGGGTAATGACTGCTCATTTAATACAATCAACATGTTGATGGGGATTGTTCATTTTCCCATGACATCACCAGATTCACCAGGCTGTTTTATTGGTATTACTTATTTTTGACAAAGGTTAAAAGACAAAGAAAGTTGATTTTTGTTTTTTACAAAACATGTTTAATTTGTTAAAAAATATATTGATAAAGGGGTCTCCTGGTCTTGTTTAGCAGGAATTTTTTATTATAGATTTAATTAAAAACAAAGAAGTTGGGTCAGAATCTTTGGTTGCTAATGGACAAAATACAAATTCAGAATATGGACCACGTTTCTCTGAGGCGTTCAAAGTCACATCTTTGGTGTTGGATCAAAAATGATCCAATTTAAAAAGAGACACTGCCTGCTGCTGCAGATCTGCTGTTAACATATCAATTCCCCCAGTTTGGGATCAACCAAGTTTAAAAAATTAAAAAATGTAATTAAACCAAAATGACCACACAGGCAGCGCTGGATCACGGTGTTCAGACCACAGTCATGCTCAACCAGGTGCCTGTCACGTCTTCCGGATGGTGCAGCTGTCAATCACATATGGAACCTTATCCACTTATGTTTGTGATTGGGTGTGGTCTGAGTCATGGGGATCTTAATTATCTGGACACATGGGGTTTATTGAGGTGGTCTAAAGGTCTAACCGTTTAATAAAAACACAGGAGGAACAATTCATTACAAATTCTTTATTTTTTTTATATGGCTTCTTCTTTAAAGAGACTGTAAAAGACATTTTCATTTAAAAAAAAAAGTCTAGAGAATATTTATAATACAACCAGTTGAGGGTCTACAACAAGCATCTACTGTAGTTTTGCACAGCCGGGCAAATCTACTAACCTGATGACAAAATGGATACAACTACTGTGGTTATTTGACATCAGTGCCACAGCTACAGTGATTGTAAGGAAAAAGAAAAAATGCTAATTAACTTAGTACCTTTTTTATAAATACCAACATATAAATAGTAAATGTACTGGATGAATGAAATCTTAAACTGCTGTACACGATAAGTCCTCTGAGAGCGACAGTTCAAAAGCACTGGTGTTTGAGCTCAGTGTCGGCTACCTTTCAACATTGATATACACAGCGTTCTTGGTCTCCATCATCCACGTACTGCACACCAGTATCTGCTGTACATCCTCCTGAAATGATCGAGACTCAAGTGAAGTGTGATTGATGCCTGAAGTCTGACCAGTTGCAAGAGGCTTTCTCTGTACGTGGTTCTTCGATGGGTCACCCGATCAAGGTTAGAGATTCAAAAAATGTTCTCTTTATTAAGGCCTCTTTAATTTAAAATTATAATGATTAAAAAAAAAAAAGTAGCACTGACATTCTCAAAACAATAGCGCTCCGTCAGTGTCTCACATAAGTCTCAACTTTTTTTTTTTTTTTTTCCTTGGGGTGAAATCTCTTTCTGTTCATGTTGATTTACCTCACCCTGGACAGCACCGGCGCAGAAG